TCTTGTCATATACATGCATAATTTGTGTTCTGCACTACTAACTGAAAACGAAGATTATCTTTCAAAATACAATCATCTGGTATTATCAACGTTTGTTTTATTAAATTTCTGGCAATTCTGGCCAGATGATTTTCAGCCGCCATTTGAATTCAAGCAAGCTAAAACAAGTTCATTTCTTTTCTACATTGGCCATTCTAGATAAGTAAAAACACTTGAAGGCAGCCAGTCTTGTTACGTCAAATGTATTGAAGGTGTCCCAAAACTTGTGTAGATTTGTCCATAATTCTTCACACTTTTCTATTGGCATTCCCATACATTTTTCATCGCTAGCATTATAGAATGTAAGCGTCTGAGATTACATCTTTGCCTCTAGCACCACCCCTGATTTTAACCATTGAAAAAAAAGGATCCTTACATGTTGTATGAACTATTAAATGATGATAAAATGAACAGCAAACATGAAACCCAGAGCAAGATGTAGGATACATCAATACTTCAAAAGTATCTAGTTTACTGGCCCTGATTTTAAATTAAATCAAAGTTAATATAGATTTTCAGATCCACTAACTTTAACCTTGAAAACAAACTGTAAGTATTGTGCTCTCTCTATGTGTGTAAGTATTGTGCACATTCTCTTAATACAGAATTAAATCAAATGATTGCCATTCGAATAGCTATGATAAAAATTGAGGACCAACCAGGGGCGTAACTTGGCCAATAGGTTTGGGGGGGTGAAAAGGGTTTCTGCCCTGCAAAACTGAGTGGTGCCCTGCAGACCTCGTAGCAACGGTTTGTCTATAGGTTACTAGTGAAAGCTTTACCAATGTACACTGGTCTTTACCAAGAGGAAACTTCTAAGCAATAAAAACAAACTTGAAACTTCATTGCCTATGAAATTTCTATTTCTCTACGTGAGCGTAAATTGTTTTTTTATATTCACTTCATTTAATGTTGGTTTGCAAAATTAAGCTAATAAACAGCTAATTGGTGGGGTGTGGGGGGTGTGTACATGATGTAGACAGCGCAACGAAATTTAACCCAGCGGGTCTAAGAGTCGAGTTTAGTGAGGTAGGAGGACCCACCATGGTTGGGTCCGACGTGAAGAAATTTTTTGAAATTATACCTTGTAAAAAGGGCTAAAAAGCATCTTTCAGACAAAAATTTAGCAAAATACTATTGTGCTAAAAGAACTGATTGTTTATTGAAAATATTATTGGGAAAAATAGGGAGGGGTATGTCATGCTAAAACTCTAGTGTTAGACGTTGGGGAAGGTAAGAAACGGCAACCTTTCGTTTCAGATTGCACGTAGTTGTGAATGACAGAGGAAGATGTTGTTTTGATTGGGAGAATTTTTTTTCCTGAACAGAAATGTGCAGTTTCTTGTATCAAGAAGGCCATGTTTACACATCCAAAATTATAACATTGCAATGATACAGAAATGATTTACTGAATTAATGCAAATAAAAGAAAAATAATAAAAATATACGTGAAAAAGTTAGCAATTAGATGAAACAAAATCGGTATCTTAACGATTTATTATGATTTTTAGTTCCTGCACTGTTAAAAAGTAATAGAAACAATTATAAGTGAGGGCCTTCAGCCTCTTATTTCCCTCCAGATCTTGACCAAAGTGAGGGCCTTCAGCCTCTTATTCCCCTCCAGTGACGCCGTGCTTGTCATGAAAATAATTTACAACTTAAATTTATTTGCATGGACTCAACCTTGCCCTCATAAACATATGCATCAATCATTGCATCCATTGGCTATGACTTTCGGTAAGAAATGCTTTCGCATTGCAAATAACGGAGCTTTTCCTTACATACCTGTTCCGTTCTCTAAAATGCATAACGGAGCATTTCCTTACATACCTGTTTCGTTCTCTAAAATGCATAACGGAGCTTTTCCTTACATACCTGTTCCGTTCTTGGCGCCCTGCAAAATCTTCGATTGCCCTGCGAAATCGACTATTTTTTGGATTGGGGGGGGTGTTACACCCCCCCACACCCCCCCGGTAGTTTCGCCCCTGATTGGAGATGTATCTAAGATTCTATTCAAACAACCTAAGTGTCCCATAGCGCTGTTTTATATCTCTGTAAAGATGCATAATTTTTGGAAAATAAATCTTTATGAACAGAATTTTGCTCAATTTTTGAATTTTAAAGAAACAAAAATTTTGACATATTGTGTCGTATATATCTTTGGCAAAATTTATTTCATACTTAAATCTTAGCAGTTCAAAAATACATAAAATGGTATGTTTTTCAAACATTTTTCCAATCAATACCTTCACAGTCTTCTTACTCGATAAAAGGTTATGTTGATGATGACAAAGATAGTCAAGATGAACAATAAAAATAGCGTGTATTTATGAAATCATTGCCTCTTAAACTATAGCAAGAATAGGTTTTGGCATATCAATAATACACAAAGTATTTGTGGTTTCACAACATCCCACAATGCTCTTGCCGCCCCCATTCACAGTTCAATAACAATATGATAATTTAGTTAGGTCAGTTTCGGAATTTTGTTCAAGTATCGGTCAATGGATTGGTTGTCAAATCTATTTGAATATTTTGTGACCTGCGCAGCAGATGAAAACAACTGATTTTGGTTCAATTGCTCCTATTAGCCAGATATTTGCCAATTCTATCTTGCAACCCGCAATGTTTGACACATTATCAGAAGATACTTGTCGCGTTAGGCCTGAAATTCAAGTCTTGGTAGGTGCTTATTACTTCCATTTTAACATTTACTGCTTTATAATGAATTTTAGCACGGAGAGGCTAGACGCAAAATAACTAATTGCCAATTTAAAAATTCTATACGAAATTTTATTGGCTTTTAGGTTAACGCCACAAAAGGTTTTATTATCTGATTCGTTGTAGCAGGTTTAAGATTCAATTGCATAGTGCTTCGTTATAGTTGTTAATAATTGAAGGCAATCGGTGCTAGAATTCAACCTCCACGAGATTCGTGCTCTTAAAATCAGGGCGATTTTTTTAGCCACGTTGAGGTCATTTACGTTATTCAGTAACTTGGAGTGCAGTAAATTGACAATCGTCTCAGGGCGCCACAAGACGAAGGGAACTTCATCGTACGATTGGTGAGAATCTTATTTACTGCAGGCAGGAGCCTCACAAAGGTAGAAGATATTTATCTCATTATAAGTTTTGTAAGGCGATGTTAAGCCCTTGCAAAACGACTAAACATTTCACTAAACATTTCACTCAACTTTTGTTTAGTGAAGTTGAGCGAAGTTTAGCGAGGGTGGCAAAACATGACTAAACTTTTCACTAAACTTCACTCAACTTGTTTGAACTGCGAGCTGTCTATGACGCTGTTGGGTTGTAGGGGATCTTGCATAGGAATTTGCTTTTGGTTTATTTTGTTGCATGCACAAGCAGTGGATTAAAATAAGAATTGGATGAAGCGACGGGGAAAGAAAAGACTTTTTAGCACATTAACAACAAAGTTGACTGTTGATATGCAGATGTCTCATAAAGGCTTTTTGGGTCACGTAGAGACAGGAAAATCAACGAAAAAAGACGAAAACCTTTGGATTTCCACAACTAGTGCGCTTGCGCGATCACAACAGATGTTTAATTGGTGGCAAAACGACTAAACATTTGCTAAACAACACTAAACAACGCGAAACATTTTTGACCAGGATCAAACTTTGCTCAACAACACTCAACACGACTAAACAACACTAAACATGGTGGCAAAACGACTAAACTTTTCACTAAACTTTTGACTAAACAAAAGTTGAGTGAAATGTTTAGTGAAATGTTTAGTGAAATGTTTAGTCGTTTTGCCAGGGCTTAAGATACTTACAAGGACCGTATCTTCTAAACAACAAATCACTCCCAGATTGGCATCATTCGGTGAGGTGTTTGCCAATATGTGAAAATTTACATTAAAGAGCCACTTTTTGTATCAAATGGAAAGAATTACCTAATCGACGGATTTCTGCCATTACAATATAGCTTATAAGTAGATTTACTAAATATAAGTGAGATGAATGCCATAAGCAACATTCAAAGAAGTGTCTGTATCCACAACTGGGTATATATTTTCCATCGTGTTCTCTCGGCCGCTCATTCAAACGTTTTATACTCTGAAGAGCATCAGACGAAGAAGTTTTAAGTAGTATGTTGTGAAATGTTTGCTTTTTTCAAAGCCATCTTCAAGTTCTGTACCGCCAAAAAATTGTTCATATTTTTCTTCATAAAGATTAAAGTTTGCCAGCCTGTTATACATTGCTCGATGCCCTAGAGGCATAGCTTTACTTTGTTGTCTAGAAAAGGCATGTACTTCTCTCAAGGCAAATACTGCATAAGAAAGCGTGGTATCTTCTTTTAACGGGGAAGGATTGATTTCAAGCCATCACTTTCCAGAAATCAGCATTGGGCATTGAGTACAGTTTCATCTATGTACCTGAATGTCATGCCATGATATTTATAAACATTTGAAAACTTTCACTAAGAAATCAACAGGAACCTAAAGATGCTAAAAACTCCTTCTTAGCATTTGACCTCACCATCATGCTCCAACTCACATGTGGCGAAAAAGGATTGATAGGTTCATGATAACTGCCTTCTAGATCCACGTAAATGCTGCCAAACTGACCTTATGAGACCATAAGCAACCAATGTAGGCGATAGGGCAATCCTTCAATCATTTTTCCATTTGTAATTTGAGCTAATGTGGTAGCCAACTTTAGACCTTTTGTTTGATGTTAGATATGCTATCGATTACAGCTTCTTTTTTCAAGCTTCTAGATAACTATTACGGTAAAGACCAATTTCAAGGCTAGGAGCATTGATTTTAGCCAATGATTAATTGATCTGTGGACGATAGCTCTAAAGATTTTAATTACGCGGCGTGAACTTGACTCGTAGAGATATACTTGTAGCTTGTAACAGCGACAGAGGTCATTTAGGGGTTTCGGGGACAGTTCCCCTCTTCAATACGATACGGCCTCTTCATTTTTTGCAATTTTGAAATAGATTTTAGGTTGGCAATTATCGGCCACTATACAAACCAGTTGGATCTCTAAATAACTTCACTGAACAGAGATTAGGATTTGTGTGGGTTTTTTTTCTCAAAGTAACTTTTGAAATTGGTTTCCAGCTGGGTTTACGGTTGTGTAAACATGATTTTTCTTTTCAAATGACATTCTTCTGTTGCTACATAATGCTTGTAAGCTCGGTGATGGTTTTGCTGCTTTGAACAATCGAGTGAAACAGTAATGTTGAATTAACAAAAATTGACAGGGAATTCTCGAGCTGAAGGATTCGCAGGCGCTCCGTTGATTGGCACAGCCACGCATACATCAGCGTTTCTTTCTCTGATTGTTATCAGGAGCGTTTTTAATTTTGGGTGAGAGCCTATAAACATACCATTTTATTTATTTAGGCCTAATCCAAACAGGCTGACAGATTTTGCTAGCTCATCAGACCAAATTCCTTTCTTTGAATTCCATTTTGGTCAGTAATAGCTTGGATTTTTTTTGATGATGTCATAACTGAGACACTATTTCAATAAAATGTTGAGTGTGAAAGCTTCTGTAAAGGGCAATGGGGCAGACTCTCTTTAAGAGCAGATCCATCAATCCAAGTCGCTCCAGGAACTTTTGAGTTTGTGAAAATCTTATATCAACCATGATATCAATTGCATTTATGAAGAGCCTGTATTTCGATAAAGTTCTATATGCAAAAGAATGGTAAGAGACTCGATCTTTTTAAAACCAATATGCAGTTTATCGATAAGGATCCCCTTATATTCTGCCAATATTCGTAGCCTTATTGCTTGATGCTAGATTTTACCTGGCAAAATTTTTTGTGGCTACATATTTACCTTAAAGGTCAATGTTAAGACTGTTTAAACAGATGTGTATTTTGAACGATAGTTGGTGATATTTAGATTAAAAACATCTTTTTTAGATCACCAAGTAACACACTGAGATTGCTCGAGAGATGTGGTGACACACCTTCAAGGTCATTTGCTAAACACTAACTTGGATTCAAAGTTCTTGACATGCTTTCGCTCAAATGTGAACCGGCTTATGCAGATCCAAGATCCTGGATGGTTTCCATATACCACTGTGCTGTCACAACATAAAAAAGCACCAAATGGCAGATTAAGCTAAGACCAGGCTAGTGAACAGGCAAGAGATGGGGACCAACATCAACAGTACCACTTACTACTTGTCCCAGTACACAAATTTTGAATCAGCAGTTTTTGTTTTTACACTTGTCGTCATTATGCTTGTTTCATTGGCTGGTGGGTTGATTATGCTGTATGTCCTGTACAGCAATGACAAAATGTGGACCAGCACAAATATGCTGATTGGTAACCTTGCTCTTGCAAGCACCTCTGTTGCCGCGTTTGTTATGCCATTCAGTATTTATTCGGCAGGAAATCGAAAGTGGACTTTTGGACAAGGAGCGGTATGTAAACTAACTGGCTTCGCAGCGTCATTTCTGCTATTGGCAACAATTTTCACTCATACAGTTATAAGCATTGATAAATTTTTTGCTGTTGTGAAGCCAATGAGCCGCGCGATGACAACGAAGCGAACCGCTCTTCTCATTGCAGCAGTGTGGGTCATTGCTGGAGTAATGTCCGTAGCACCGCTTGCGGGTATATCAAGATTTGAATACAACCCAACGACGTTAATGTGTGGAATTGGTTTCCCTATTACAAAGCTAGACCTCCTCTATATGCTGTTTCTTTCTGGCCTTGGTTTCATGCTGCCACTTATTCTGATGGGAATTCTCTACATTCGCGTTTATTTTGCAGTTAAACAGCATAGTGCGAGGCTTCTTGCACACTCCGTCTCCTCGACTGATGTACTCGCCCTTCAGAAGCGGCTGATTTTCACCGTGTTCGCAAGTTTAGTCTGCTTTCTTATCTGTTGGTCAACTTTTTTCACACTGGTAATTTCTTCTGTTATCATTAAAGATAGATCAAAGTTGCCGCGTGGTTTGGGCATCGCTGCCTATTGGACGGGCTATTTCAACAGTGCGCTGAACCCGATTATCATATGCTCCCTCAGCAATCGATTCAAAGAGGGGTTCAAGGATATATTGGTTCGCTTCTGCAGCCTATTCAATGTTAGCTGCCGGAGGCGATCAAGACATTTTATAAAGAACGGTTCGGTGTTGCAATCAGCTTGTACTGAAGTGGTGTTTTATGAAAACGCCACCCTTAAAGGGTACAGCAAAAAGAACTCAAAGGGACAGATTGAAGCAGACCACGTGGCATTGACTTTGTGTTTGCCAACGTACATGCAACACGATGTTAACTATTGCAGTTCCAATTCGGATAATTCTCATTCATCATGTAATGCTAACACCTCAGAGGTTTAGCTTTAGTGTATTGCAATTTGTTGTAGGCTTTAGATGAATTTGGTTAATGTAAAATACGTGATATGCCAAATGTTAATAAATTATACGTTTTGATGTATCTAGCGATTGTTGTTAGCGTATTTATATACTTACAACTCCAATGTGGAAATGTCGTTATTAGAGTCGCGAACAGTGGCAGATGCACGGAATACAACCGGGAAAAAAGTCACTGATTAGAGATAAGTAGTTCATGTTTCATTAAAAAGTGTCTAGTTTAAAATGTTTTCTAGGGATGCTTCTAATAATTGATTGAAAAATAAATGCAAACATTTCATGGCTTTTAGTTTCATAGATCATGGAGAAAAGCAGCGGTGTCTGTTATTAAGGGTTCCTGCTAAATCAAAACTAAGTAGTTCTCATCCATAACTACATCACACATTTTGGCTGAAAACAAGAAAACAGTATATGTAGGAAATTCTCAGCTTCCACGTAAAATGTTGACCTCTCAGATAGACCAATCTAGTGGAATTGTTAGTTTTTATGTGTGCAGCTGGGGGAATTGTTAGCCACTTTGAGTCCTTAAATGACACTAAGATCAATGCTATTGAATATAATGTAGCAAGTAAGACGTAAGTAACGGTATCAAAACTTTATTAGAGGCAAAAAATGAGTTCTAATAAATTGGAGTTGGAAGTAAAAGCTTTTGAAACTTATTTCTGACGTGAAACTTATTTCTTAATGTAAAAAAATTTTCTTCTTTCGCATTATGTCTTTTTCTGACTTTCCGGGTACCCGATTTCCTTAGTTACGGTATGAAAAATTTGTCTTCAGGGAAAGAGCTTAAAACTCAACAAGGAAAGGTGACTTGCTTACATTCCTATAATGAAAATTTGTTATGGAAGAATTGAATGCAATTCCAAGGTTTTTTAGAAAGAAATATGTTTTTCAATTGCTGGAATTTTGTTGTGAAGTTGCATTGCGTCAAAAGATCCGTTGTATAGCACTTTCTGCTCCGAATCTTGCAAATCCAACAAAGGAATTCTTAAAGGTATAATTTTCCCCCTCTTTTTTTCGTTGGTAAAGCTCCTAGGGTTGAATTTAGTATTGCTTTCTTTTCTCAGATAACATTTAAGAACTTGATGTCTTTCGAAATAGCTAGATTTTTCCTCTTAAAAATACACAGTATACACAAATACACAGTAAGCCGTCACATAGCTTAGAGGCATATCAGCAAACTAACTTCAAGCAAGTCCAAGTAACAATTTAATATTTTGAAGATACTTTCTGTACAGTTGGATACCAAAATTTATCAATTATGATAAGCAAAGCTGAGAGTATCAGTACCATTAGTCTATTTTTCTGCTGATTTGTTTATACGAAATTTGCATTTTGATATTCGAGAAGATTAGAATACATAGCAACTTTCTTTTACGCGGCATAATGGAAAAGTGGGACTTTGTAGCTGGGACTTTTTTTTAACATGCAAACTAGTTAGAAAATTTCCCACCAGGTCCTTAGATTTCCCGACTAGTTGTCCCACAAATTCCCACTAGAAATCATCCTTTTGTACAAGATGGTTTTGAAAATTAACCTATTTGATTCCTGTTTACAGTTTGTCTGCGTTGATTTGCTTGTGTATATTTCAACTTCTTTACTACATAATTATTACAGAGTCAGAAATTGTGACCAATGGTGCAACCTCGTCCTTTTTTACGTTCTCGTTTTTGCTTTCAATTGCTTCGCAGTGAAACGAGGCCCATTCATTCAAGTTTCTCTACCTACATTTCTAGCTATCCTTGCTAAATTTCTTGTTGGAAGATATGAAGAATGAGAGTTTTAAGCGTAAAGCTACTTTCTATAAAAAACTTGAAAAACAGTTTGTTTAATTAGTTTTTCCTTTAGTGAAATGTTTTTTTGCTCATAGTTTGCAGTATAGCAAATTAAGGTAAGAAGTCTGAAGAACCCTTATTGATACACTGACCATATATATGCAAGGCAAATAGGTGAACCGAAACATCGCCACTTGGAACAACATCCGTGAAAGTCAAATAAATGCCTCGACTTGAAGCATAAAATAATTTGAACTCCCTTGAACTCAGCATCAGTGTGACCAGATCTAAATTTTGGAATTATGCCAAGTTTGTCATAAAATAATGCTAGATTTGCAAAAATTATGCTAAATTTCAAATCAAGGCACCCCTGCTTGTAAAAGAGGCTAGAGGATGCTCAGAATATCAAAAGTGACCAAAGTTTCCATTTGGCCTTTTTGACCACCAATCTAAAACACAGTTAATTAAACAGGAATCAAATAGGTTAATTTTCAAAACCATTTTGTACAAAAGGATGATTTCTAGTGGGAATTTGTGGGACAACTAGTGGGGAAATCTAAGGACCTGGTGGGAAATTTTCTAACTAGTTTGCATGTTGAAAAAAAGTCCCAGCTACAAAGTCCCACTTTTCCATTATGCCGCGTAAAAGAAAGTTGCTATGTATTCTAATCTTCTCGAATATCAAAAATTCAAATTTCGTATAAACAAATCAGCAGAAAAATAGACTAATGGTACTGATACTCTCAGCTTTGCTTATCATAATTGATAAATTTTGGTATCCAACTGTACAGGAAAGTATCTTCAAAATATTAAATTGTTACTTGGACTTGCTTGAAGTTAGTTTGCTGATATGCCTCTAAGCTATGTGACGGCTTACTGTGTATTTGTGTATACTGTGTATTTTTAAGAGGAAAAATCTAGCTATTTCGAAAACATCAAGTTCTTAAATGTCATCTGAGAAAAGAAAGCAATACTAAATTCAACCCTAGGAGCTTTACCAACGAAAAAAAGAGGGGGAAAATTATACCTTTAAGAATTCCTTTGTTGGATTTGCAAGATTCGGAGCAGAAAGTGCTATACAACGGATCTTTTGACGCAATGCAACTTCACAACAAAATTCCAGCAATTGAAAAACATATTTCTTTCTAAAAAACCTTGGAATGGCATTCAATTCTTCCATAACAAATTTTGCCATCTTTTCTACACAAAAAGGCAATTTAGATTAATGGTTTTGACATCCAAATTTCTTAACCCCTTGGCCGTCATGAGTCACACATTCTTGTGTAAAGTGTTTCCATTTGGTGGTGATAGACAACAGATCAATGGAAACAGCAATTTTTTAAAAACTATCAAAATTATGCCAGAGTTATGCTAGATTCCAAATTATGCTAGATTTTATGCTAAATGACGATTTTTGGTCAATATTATGCTGAAAGCATTATATTATGCTAGATCTGGTCACACTGCTCAGCATACCCGAGTCTGATTCCCATCTTTGTGAGTTCAATTGTTTTTAAAATTACTGGGTAAGCCCAAGGCCATATCCACTGTGAGTTCCGGAGATCTTAACTTTTTCACGTTTTTGAAATCGAAGAAAATGCAAGGTAACTTTATTAATGACTCAGCTTTATTAATGAAAATTAATCACTTTAATCACTATAAATCATATTAATCACAAATTGATCACTAGTTACTTTTAATCTCATCCATCATTTGTAGGTTTTGCTGGGATTGCACAGCTGCGGAGACTGAAAAACTGGGGAAAAGAAATTTTATATAGTCAAAAATAAGTTTGGGAATTTATAGCACTTTCTTCGAAGAGCTGAGACATGGTCGAGTGTGCATATGTTTCCCCCTTGTCTTTAGACTTCAACCAAAAGAGAAACTGCAGCTTTGACGTCAGAAAATGTGTTCTTCTTCTGAAGAATCTTTCGATGATCGAGTCCGTCGAATTTAGTATCAAAGTTTTGTGAGTTTAATTCTTTTGTGAGTTCAACTGCGTTCACCTTGAGCTTTAACTTAAATTTTAAACTGTTGCCCACTGCGAGCTTATTTAAAGACAATCTGTCTCGTTGTGGATTGGTTAAAGAGAACAATAGCTGGAACAATAGCCTAAACACGCTTCCAGCGCTCCGCCATATTTTTTACAATGCGATAAATTAAAGGGGGACCGGAAACAATAAAAAATCCCTTTGTTCTTATAATCAATCAACGTCGTGACAGATTGCCTTAAAGTTAAACTCGCGCAGACAAACACCTTTAATATCACTTAATATCGCGTAAGATTTCGTTAGAAATCATGATTCCATGCGAAACTATGCGGGAATTTTCCAAAGTGCTTAGGTACTAGCTCCAAGAAAAGGCAAGTTCTTACTATTCTTAAAATGAAATTATGGGATGGTATAGCAATACTGTTAATTTTTCGATACAAAAAGGAAACTTGATAATGAATTTTTTTGTAAATCTGCAAAATACACAGTACATGTCCAGACTATTTTGATAAGCGAAGCCTTTTAAAACCCTAATATTAATATGTACACCTCAATAGTTATTAGAGTTTTTCGAGCAATAGTTTATCTTCAACTCGCTTTATAAGTAGGTGACTTCTGGTACCTACCCTTAGGTCGCGAAAAAGGGTACCCCCCCCCCCGTTTCTTTTTTCGAAGAAATTTCCGACCCCCACTGCTCCTGTTAGGACTCTCCCCGCTCGATCAAATTTTCAATTTTTGTAGAAGAGCCCTTCAAAAAGGGTGAACAACTGAGGCTGAGTTTTCCCAGATATTCTCTTTTTTTTATAAGAACCAGTAAATTTAAGTTCAGGCTGACTGTTGTTAATTTTTTCGAAAATCTGAGGCTGGATTGTTCTTAATTTGTTCTTAAATTAAGAGGGTGTAAGCAGTGCTATTGCTAAACTTTTTCGCTCTAAGGAGGTGTTCAGGTCTCATTTGCCAACAAAGTGAGTGAGACAGCCTTAATTTGCTGACAAATTTGAATATTCACCGAAAAAGCACCCACACATCGCTAAAAATCCTCGTTTATGAGAAAAAACATTGTTCAAAATTGCATTTTGCGGAAGCTCAGCCTCAGCTTGTTCTTAATTTGTTCTTAACTTTTGACCAGTTTTGAGGCTCGTGTTCTTAAAAAATTGTTCTTATTAAAAAAGGAGTGTAAGAAATGAGCACCTTCCATTCTCAACAGTTTCTACAATTAGTAGCCTATTCTAGCAGACCTTTTAACGTTTACGGATATTTTTCGTTTAACACTGCTGGGTACTCTTTTTACATTTTCTTTTTCATTTACAATCTCAACTACTTGCAGAACTGTTTTTATAAAGGCACGCGTATTCAGGGCAGTCGCAAGCTATTGTGCTCTCAAGGGGGGATTCTCCGATCTCATTTGCTGACAAAATGAATGAGCTATCCTTTATTTGCCGTATATGCAAACTTGCCGATGAAGCACCCCTATATAGCAAAGTTTTTACGATGAATCTTTTTCCAAGCGGGTGTCACACCCACCTGCGTGTATTCCGAGTTCAAAAGGCCGAGTCTGTATGTTTTTTTGTACCAGTTAGAGAATTTGTTTAGAGAATTTGTTATTTTCTTTTTGTGCATCCTAAAATTCCAAATGTGGTCGATTGAATTAAGATGAGGAAATACGTGTCTCACGCGACCCGAGAAATGCAGGATATACCGCTGGATCGTAGTCAATAGGAGGTCCTATCAAAGGCGTCCTATGTATGTCCAATAGCTGTTGTATAAATTAATCATAAATAAAAGGTAATGAGTTACATTTTAAACCTCAGTTTACAGGCAGTCTTACAGTGATTTGTGTGTTTTAAAATGTATACATTGCTCTTTTGCTAGCCCTATATACCACACTTAGGGGAGATAGACCAGCAAGAATAAAGGCAAAGATCTTCCGCAAATATTTTCCCGTTGTGCTCTGATCCCCCAAGCTTATGACGTAAGATCTATACCCATCAGCCCACAGAGTAGAGGACGTACATTCCAACAAAGGTAACATAATAAGGATTGTTTTGACCGCTATCCATGTGATAATTCAAAAAGGCCATGCAAACAACCTGTTAATTATTTCTTTGGAAAGTGCAAAATCAATGCGTTGTTTGGAAAGGCAACTGGCCTAAGTTGCAGGCTAGATTTATTTTGAAGGGACTTTTCTTGGTGGATATGGAAAGTAACAACCACTTAAGGAGAAGAAGACCACGAACTCCTCAAAGAGGTAAGGCAATTTCTAGGCAGATCATTTCACGGTACAAATGTTATCACATTCCTTAGTAATAACAAAGCTACGATTCTAATTATCAATAAACATTTTTAATCAACGAAAGTCGAAATGAATTATCATTAGAAGCTAACTTACACGCGTCAAATTAAATTTTTGCTGCAATAAAAAACCTTCCACCGACTGTTTTCATTTCGCAGTTTTCACCGGAAAATTGTATTGCCTTTTTTTTATTCTCAGTTGCTAAACCGAGTTGTGAAAGCCTTATTGAACAAAAATTGCTTTATAATGCATAAAACATTAAATTGAGTACAAAAGTGTGTTTAAAAGTCTATTTTTGCTGGTTTTCCTTGAGCTTTTTGGACTAGAGTCATAATTGCTGTTGATACGGTACGCACGGGTAGTCAAGTGTAAAATGTTTGCACAAGTCCCAAATAACTGGTAAAATAGAGCTTACTGAATTCTTATCTTTGCAATTTAGGAAAAAAATTCTGTGAAATTTCTGATAAAATTTTCAACGAAAAACGAGAAATTTACCCTTTCTGCTAATTTATTAACTCATTGCAACCCTGTGAAGACATGTTATTGGGTCGCAGGTGATGTGACCTTTTGCCAAGCCAAAATGAGTTGCTGATGTTTGAGAAAACGGCTTGGAAGGCATGACACTGGATATTGGAGGCTTTAGCTAGAAAATCCCATTAGGAGTGTACTTTGATCCTTCAACTAGCATCGTACCATCGTTCAAAGGAGGAGTTGTTGTGGGCGACACACGCTCATCTCTCCTTAACCAAAACAAGGAAGGTCAAGCGACATCACTCAGCTAAGGCCAGAGTGTTTTGTTCAAAATGGATGAGTCAGTAAACAACAGCAACGGTGGGTTATGTAGTTGACACCGCCAATTTGAAGAGATTTGCCTCAAATTTCATCAAGAAGTATTCATAGTTTTAGGGTGCCTTTATTGTCCAGCACTTGATGCAAATAGACATTTGTGAATAGGCCGTCTGTGTTTGTTAGATTTAGTTTCCTTGAAATTTAATGTTTAAAAATAGTCTAGACATAGGAGCTAGACGAAATAAGATAGACTGTAACCTTTGAGTGCTATACTTACGATTTCATTGTATCCTTTATGTGCAAGTTGAAAAGAATTATACAACAAAGTTTCAGAATTGTTCTTTAGTTGTATAGACATGTCTAGGCATGCAGATTTTTGAGTCTGATCCAATTACCCATCAGTGAGATTATTTTTTTCACCGACTCAACTGCAATCTTGAGCAGCTAAAAATTATTAAAGAGAACTATTATACTTTCTGGAATGCTCTAGAATTGCATGGTTATGTTAGATTTAGATGTAGAATTCTGTTTTTGTCTTGTTGATGAAAATGAAGGGTGGTAAGACCAATAAAATTAAGAGAAAATTCATATTGCTTTTGCAGTCAAAATTCGAAAATTGAAACTGCCTATCTTACTTAAAGAGTTCATAGCACCATTTGCAATTTTTGCAAGACTATTCTGCAAAATTGCATATTCCAATATAATTTGTTTGAAGAAATTTTAAAAAAATAAATAGAGCATAGCAAAAAGAAATGTTATATATTTTTGCTTAGATATGATTATGCAAGTTTCAATTTCCTTTGTTTTAACCATCTTTCTCAACTAATTACGGCATGGAGTTCAGTGCCTTTGCATTTGCGAATCAGTTTTTCTTTTAATCAATAGGTTACAGAGATTTTTTGGATGAGACAAGTGGTGCCCATGCAGCAAGAGTTTTCAGGAAGAAAGCTGATGTAAGTATTTTTGTTCTGCTACTTGAGTAGCAAATTTTGGCTTTAGGGTGACATATTCCTTTTCCAGGCTCAAAATTGAGGTGAGCACAAAGCAGTTTGCAGAATATGGTAGTTCTTGACTCGATTTCATGTTTGCATGCTCATTTCAGGCACATTTACTGCAAACAAAGTTTTCTATAATAATGCTAGTTTAGACTTGGTGTGAAATTTCAGATATTGATGTGCAGCAATACATTGACCTTATGCATGCATATGCCACAAACTGCACTACAGGAACACATATTTTTCAATGTTTAATATTTGCATGCTAGAGATTATTCATCAATGTTTTAGTTCCTTCTCTTCCTTGCTCTTCATGTTGTTATTAGCCCACAATAATTCCAAAAATAAATCAAACCATGAAAGTAATAAGTATGCTATTTGTTTTTAGCAGGTTAAGCCCCTCAAAACTGTTTGCCCCCAATCAAAGATTTTTTATCCAGCTCTTGGATGTGAACAATTTTATATTGGCAAATAAATTTTTTTGTCTGTAATCAGTTTTTCATGAAACATTGTCTTGCTTCTGAACCATATTTCTTCAAAATACAAATCTTTCCAGACCTGTCAAGTTTCAATTTTGAAAATGATTGAGTTTTGTGAGAAGATGGGGAAAATTTTTTCACTGCTGTGGGACTAGGGGGTGAAACCAGAACTAATCCTTGCTGACACATTGACAAAAGGGGGGCTATGTCCCGAGAAATTGCCACACCTATTTCTTTGAGCACATGTTAAGCACCTGTTACAAACACCTTTCTATTCTGTAGCTTGGGCTTGGCCAATAGTGCTTTTTCTATAATGTGGAAAAAAATGAATAATTTGAATTAACCAAGAAAGTTATTGCTGAGTTCACAAGAGTTTTGCTTTGATGTGTATGCCTGTGAGAAATAGAAAATAGGTGTGTGTCTCATGGAAGGTCTGCAAGGTATAAGGAAATTGAATTTGCAAAGCACAAATAACTGTGCTGAGAAACGCTAATTCATTATTGCAGTGCTTATTACTGCAGTGTTCATCACGGCTAATGATTCTTTTTGAAGACATGCACCACTGCAAAGCAGGGAACTACTTAACTATTTTAGGATCAGTGTTTAACATTTTAACAAGATAACTTCAATCTTCTGCAATAAATTTTAGAGCTTTTTTGTTCTTTTCTTAATTTTTGGCAATACTGACTGTTAATCAGTGGCATCATGGCACTAGACTGAATTATACAGTATAAGGAAATGAAATTTTTATTCATTCACCTCTCAACTTAGTTAAAGGGTATATAGAAAATCTTTGATTCTTGAAAAATCGACTTTCTCTGTCAGAAGAGGCCTTTTGACATTCCATTTTTACTTATACATTGACCAGAGTCAGTTGAATTCAATGGTTCACTTTGTAAAAGCCTATCAGTGTAAGAGTGACTTTATATACTTTATTCTTTGGATTTTGGTATCAGTTGAATCAGATGCAGTTCAATAATCACTTGATATATCGACGCATCCAAAGTACTTCAGCTTTATGGCAACCTCTTCTTCTTCATCTGAAGAAATTGAGCTATCTACTGAGACAAATCCTTTGTTTTCTTTGTTTGAGATGATTATAACCTGCTATTCTTTAGGGGTCTTGTTTCATCTATTCATTTGTCTGCTATGTTAATAGGGAAACTCTGTGATTACAGCTTAATCTTTAAATATTTAAAATTTCTTTTACATTTTTTATGGCGGTGTTCTTACTAAACAGCATTTGGGTGTTTTGTTTAATGGCTTGTGGCTTATAGGACTTTCTAGGCATGCATGGGGATGCTGATTGAACCCTCTTAGATAGCTTGAGTCCATATGTGGTAATCATGTTGATATAGGTACAGAAAAACTAGTGAAACCGATTTATTTCCTTACATAAGCATTGCTGAATGCCAACACTGATTAAAATGGTTATTGATGGTTTAAAGAATCATGTCTTGATGCTAAAGCTCTTTGCTGTACAATAGATAACACAGCAGGCTTTATTAACCAATATAAACCCCTCTTGAACTTTCTGGGAGGTGAATGTAAGGCTTCTTACTTGCAATTTTATTTCAAAGCTTTTTGTTATTACAGGAACTGCAAAATGAGTTGTTGGGGAAATTTGATGCAGAGTTTCATGAAATCATTGATCAATGCGCAGATGAACTGGAAGAGCCAACACTGAAAAGCAAAAAACACACAAAGTATGTGTACATTTCTATGTCATAGAATCTGCTATTCGATCTTCCTAGCCACATGAGGTTGTTATAAAGCAGAGTATATTATTTGTGAAGTTTTCTATTTTTATAAGTTGGTATTCATTCTACTTGAATCCTATAGAAGTTAAGATTCTACTTTGTATACTTGATTCTACTTTGTATGTCAAGGAAAATTTGGTAGTATAATATTGTTTGAAATGTTTTTAAAAAGCTGGTTGTTTCAAGTTCTTTACAACATGGCCTGGTAAGGTATTTCAAAATGCTAAATAAGGTAACGGAAGGAATTTGATAGATGTTCAATGCCATAAAAATGCTGTAAAGCGAGGAATAACAACAAAACATTTTTGATAATGTACATAATTTACAAATATACAAGTGTGCAAATTTTGAAGCAAAATGGTCAATGGCACTTGAATTGGATACAGGTTATTTATTTGGTAATGGAACATTACTCTGAAATATTTTGAAATACGTGCTTTGAAGAAATTCTATCTCAAATTCACCTCAAAATTTAAACTTGACTATAACCAAAAAAGTAAAACACACTTCAAATATGGATTATTCCTAAACTTCACTGCCCTGTAATTTAAAACATAGATAATTCTTGGCTCTATCTTTTTTATTATTGTTTAGATATCATACAATTATGTAGATGCCATCTACATTACTCTTGGTTTATAGGTTAATTTTTTTCAAAATCTGTCCCTCATTTTTTAAATATGCCCTAGTTCAACTCTTATCTAAAAGGATATCTTTAGCACTCGCTTGGCTCTAATGATTTAATCCAAGTTAAGTAATTTGCATGTAATAGGACATTTTTATTTCAGGCACAAAAATTTTAGCATGTTGCCTGTTTAAGAATATTGTATAAAGACACATTTTAAGACAAAGAATAAAGGAGAATTTATAGTAATAAGGGTAAAGAAATCTTATATATGAGCAAAAGAATTATCAGTCAGTAGAGGTTTTTTGTCTAACATTATTTCAGCAACTTGAGGATAATTTTAGATAAATCTGATTGGCGCAAGAATCTTATCCTACTGAATACCACTGAAATAGACATATGCCATTGTATTTATATATTTTGAAAAGTTTATTATTCTTTCTTGCAATTTTTCAATAGAAATTAAGCAGGCTCTAATTTACTTTCTCATTTCACTTGACAGCCTTTATGATGCAGAAGGCAGAAAAGTATTTATTGCTCGAGAATCACTTCTTACGTAAGTTAATTTCTCTTTAATGAACATCTCTAAATAGCAGATAGCATAATTCTGTTTACTAAACAGTAGCCTAATAGGCTACTGACAAACTAGGGTGGGAACGACTGTTTACTGTTCCAACAACATTCAAACACTCCCACAACATCATGGAACAAAAAAATTTACGGTTCATTAATTCTCATTGCTCATTAATTCTATAATTGAAATATCTTTGTGCAAAAGCTTCACAACAGTTTTGGCTTGGTTCTTGTATTGAATGATGGTTATTGGCTCAAACTAGCATTTATTTAATCAACAACAATTTCAACGGGATGAAGTAAATGATGTCATGTTTCATGCTCACTTGTATTTTTTCAAAGAATTGTTTTCCAGCTTTACACATACCTCATTGAAGGTAGAAAAATGTCCTCTGTCCTTTTGTGCATAAGCACCCTTTAATTGTCTTTTTTATCTCTTTTCTTCTACAGGGAACTCTTGGAGATTAATCACATTCAGACAATTTACAACATTTTTGTGGCCCTATTGATTTTATTTATCATGAACACACTGGTGTATGATTACATTGAAACAGGCAGGTTAGTTAGCGTTTAATAGTTTCTTTGGTTTCATTTAGGGGCGTTGTAGCTCCTAGAAGAGGGTCGGGAAAAAATAACCATAACGGGGCCAGTGTCCGACGTGAGAGAAAATTTTTGAAATTAAGCCTTCTAGAAAAGCTAAAATGCATCTCCTAGACTAAACTTATACCGCTCAGAATAGGCAATTCGAAGATTCTCAGAAAGGCATTGATCGTTGATATTTAAGAAAAGTTTGGGAGGGGAGGAGTCATGCAAATACTCTAGCGCACATCGATGTGAATAACAAGTGGCTGTGGTATTGATTAAGAGCATTCTATTTCATGAACAGCAATGTACATCTTCTTTGTCTCGAGTATTTTCAGAAGTTTGCACATCCAAAATGCAAGCATATGCAAGCAGCTCTTCGATCTCTTTGAAGCTTCTAGGCTAAAAATGCAGCTAAATCTCGCTAGATCTCTTTGCTTTTTGGGGATCTTCTACAGAAGACTTTAAAGCCACACTAAATGTTGCATGATATATTTGGAACAAAATGTTGTGTGACGCGGAGTGACAATAGGAGAAGTCTACATTCAGCCATACAGGCCCGGCCTTTTTTTGCTTTTACATGCAACTTCTCGTACAGGCTCCCAGAAATATGCCTCCATCTAAAAGTCTCAGATTCACGGTATTCTCCTCCAAGGGCTAATTCTTAGATTCACGGTATTCTCGAAAGCAAAGGCCCTCCCATCAGGTCGCCCCAGGCCTCATTCTAGCGGGTCATCTTCTGTTTGACCTTGATTCTTTTCAAATTCCACGCATCCCATTCACAGGGCCCTTTATGTTTAAGTTCATCTCCAATTCTCTAGTTCATAACTATGAGTTTGAGTTTTTATATAGATCAGAGATTACTTTACCAAAGATTTCCTTCCCTTGAAATATTTTCCTGGGTTTAAACAAGTCACTTTTAAGGGGCCCACCGGGAAATCTCGCCCCTGGTTTCATTGTATGACTTCCCTGAGCTTCAGTTTATAGGATCCTCTCTACAGAATACAGAATAAGAAATATTTCAAAATCGAAAATCCTACCCTACCTACATTTTTATAGTTTAAATGATACTTGCCATTTAATTACAAATGGCCTTTTCAAAACACTATCTAATAATCATTTTAGATATAACCCTATAAAGGTGGGTATGTTCTTTACTCTGTTATTGAAAATTTGATACACAGTGTTCTAATTGATTAAATTTTATTATTATTTATATATACAAAAAAATTCAATGTGATTTGCAAGCTCAGAATTTTCAAACTTGTTACAATTAACAAAATTTCGACATCCAGCAGATTATAAGATTGGCAAAAGGCTAATTGGGATTCACCTCGGTTTTCTCTGGCGTAAGGTGGAAGTTTCAGCTGTCAAATATATGATTTCTGATATAATTTATGTTCTTAAACCTATAAACATGTAAATTATATTCATTTTAAGTATTTTGATTTGCAACAAAAAGAGTTAGTTTAACCTAATAATAAAGCTAAGGATCATTCTTTATTGTAATTAAAGCTGTTTTTTTTTGTTTCAGGTTCGGAGTTGATTTTTCTCTTATCCTGTGGGCTTTTGGAAAGGTCCCAGTCGTTGTCACAACATGGTTAATGATGATGATGTACACATTCACAATATTTCCTTTAATGCAGGCTTGGATTTTTAACCAGAAGTCCTGGATACCCCTGCCAGACCTTATGTGGATTATGTGCTATGGGATATACATGTTGTTTTTTGCCTATTTTCCCGTTGTGGAGATTATCAAGCACGACGTACCTACTGTTTCTACGATTATAGTTCTTTGTGAACAGGTGATTAATTATTGATTTAATACGTTTCCACGAAGCATCTTGCTGTTAAGAATTCAAATAATTTAAAGCCTTTTGGTATACGAGTCACAACAACGAATTACAGTATTACAAAAATGAAGTATTACTGAAAACGATGTTTTTGTACAAGATAATCCCCATGCAGGGATACTTTTAAGAATAGTATCTTTATAATTAAATTCAAGTAAAACGTTGGCATCAGAATTGCTGTTTCGCGTTTTCAACAGAAATTTACGAGAATTTTTATCAATGTGAAACTTTTGTGGAAAGGGCTCTGAATTACCCACCCAATCAACAACATGAAGTATTCCATTAAGCATCTCAAACTCGTTTATTTAGAGAAATTTGCCAAATTACACTCTTTTTTTATAAGAACCAGTAAATTCAAGTTCAGGCTGACTGTTCTTTATTTTTTCGATAATCTGAGGCTGGATTGTTCTTAATTTGTTCTTAAATTAAGAGGGTGTAAGCAGTGCGAGTGCTAGCTTTTTCGCTCTAAGGAGGTGTTTAGGCCTCATTTGCCAACAAAATGAGTGAGACAACCTTCATTTGCCGAAAAGTTTGAATATTCACCGAAAAAGCACCCACACATCGCTAAAAATCCTCGATTTTGAGAAAAAACGTTGTTCAAAAATGCATTTTGCAGAAGCTCAGCCTCTTAATTTGTTCTTAACTTGTGACCAATTTTGAGGCTCGTGTTCTTATAAAATTGTTCTTATAAACTATTTTTCTGTTCTGTTCCCCATTGTTTTGTTTTTCAGTGTCAGTCAACAAACAAACAACCTCGCCCTAATTGAATTTGCTTAAGTCGCAACTCGTTTATGTCAAAAATCGCTTGTGTCGAAATTCATTTTTGTCGAAAATTGTTTATGTCGAAAACCGCTTTTCTCGAAAATTGCTTTGGTCTAAAAATTTTCGTGTCGAAAATCGCTCATGTCAAATTATCCAAATTTTTATTATTTGTCATTCCCGTTTCTACTCGTAAGTCGAAGTTTTTTTTCAATTGACTTGTTCTACTCGTAAATCTCAATGAAGATTAAGGTCCCAGTCTAACTAGAATAAACAAATTTTTTCCCATTGATTAAAATTTGCAGTACTTTGTGAAATACATAAACTACCTCCTGTTGTTTATTGAAAAGACTTTGATGCTTTTTGACAACTGAATATGGAATATGTTACAAACGTGCCAAAAAGTTGTTAAAGACATATAGTTAAAATTATGTTAAAGATTTAAAATGTTAAACATAACGATAAATAAGACCTTTCGAAATTTACTGATGTCGATGTCATACTGATGTTCTCAACTTATGCAAAATTAACTTACTTTCCGTAGACATGTTCAACAAAACTAAGATCAGTTTTCAAAGTCGATTTCAGCCATCTCCCTCCTAAGGAACAATGCTTGTTCACTATGAATTGATACTGTATCTTCTCGTTGTTTTCCTTTTTGGAAGCGTGGATCTATTTTTGCAGCTTACGCTTATTTAGTTTTCAAATTAATAATTCCTAGGTCCGTTTGATGATGAAAGTTCATGCATTTGCGCGGGAAAATTTTACCAAAGTTTTGAAGATAAGGAACGAAGAAGGTAAATTGTCTGGTACTTTTTTCACAGCATCTTCGCATGAAAGTAGTAGTTTTTATAGAGGTTTTTTGTTGCAGGCAACGCGATAAACCTCTCATAATTCTCTAAAGTATATTTCAGAAGATATCAATACGTATCTCGTTTTTTATTGCATTTGCAAACTTTAGTAATGTAAAGCAAATTATTATTTTTCTTAATTTTAGAAACCGGGGGTCTGTCGGTTTAGAAAAAGTGCCACAGTTGCAAAATTTAGGAGTCAAAGATTCAACGATCTTTGAAGTTGTCGTAAAACGAGTGATGCTGCCATAGAGATGAAATCATATTCGATAGTTTTGCACAGGCACCGCGCAGCCAATTGGGCTAGCAAGGGCTATAGCCCCTATAGCCCTCACCCCCTCCCCCCCCACTTTTTTGCAATAATGGGCTAGACAATTTTTTTAGAGGTTTATTCTAACGCAACTTTAGATAGGATTTTCTATATACCAGGGTTTTCATAGTTGCAAAAATTTAAGAATCTTTGAATTTTACCTACTGAAAATTTTGTATCTTAAAATTCTACATTTATTGTTTGGCATTAGTTTCCCAAAGGCAAAATTAGTAGATTCAGAAAATCTCATCGTTAGATATTTTTTATCACTTGGCATGGATATGAGAGAAATCGCGATAGAGGAAATGTTTTCTGAGTATATAATTATATTGTTTTAAACTAAGCAGACAACATACTTACGTTTGTACTATAAAATGCTTTTACCTTTGAATGCCTCTACAATGCCAATGACCTTTAATTTTTCAGATAGCGAAAAGAAAGAAGCACAGTTTGATAATATGCCTGGATTCTCACAGTTTCTCTACTTCCTGTTTGCCCCTACACTGATATACAGGGACAGTTACCCAATGTAGGTGTTTGTTCTTCGTCTTAAATGCTTTTCTGTTACCTGTAGGACTAACCATATCAAAGGCTGCTGGGTTGGCAATCTTTCCAATTAGACAAGCACTGTGAATTTCTCTAAATTTTTATCACCGCCTACCATTTCAAATGTTGACAAGTTTTAGTACCTATGTGGGCTTTTCGAGTGTGGCACATTTGATACTGTTCAAGTATATTCATATGTATCCTTCTCCAATTGGCTCTTTATTTGTTTTTGCTCATTTTTCCAAAGTTTTCTCTCAATTGAATAACTTAGTCTTGGGGCATCTCGCATCCCTTTTTCTGTGTACAGTGGGGCCTCAATACAACGGACACCGTTCAGACCAGTGTAAATGTTCGTTGTATAGAGATGTTGTGTAGAGGTTTCCATTGATGGAACTTCCAATGTGTTTTTATTGTAATGTTCACTCTTAGTAATTGAAGTATAATTACGATAGTGAATCATTCCAGTTTATCCAAATAATGGCTGTACAAAAATCATCATCGCATTATTTTTTTATAAAACGAAATTTATGCATTGATTAATAAGACGTTATATTTGTAATCAATTTTGCACCACTGCTGTAATGTTCCTTCTTTTTACAGGACTCCCCAAATCCGCTGGGAATACGTTGTCACTAACGTGCTGCAAGTCATTGTCTGCGTATTTTTCACTTACTACGTTTTCGCCAGATTTTGTGTTCCAGTATTTAGGAATACAGGAAAAGATCAAGGGCATTTAAGGTGAGGATTCTCGACAAGTTTTGCTTTTTCAGTGTGCTCGTATATACTAAAGTATCTTTTTTGGGTGAATGAAAATTAATGAAAAATCTGTTACTTCATCTCCTGTCGCTACAATATTGAAACTCCAGTTTTGCTTGCAAAAGTTTGTTGCGGTGGAAGGTTGACATGTTTGAAGGCCTTTTGTAACAGATATTGAAAGCCCAAGAGATGACTCGATTTCTGAACCTTTTTATCAACATACAACTGCCCTCGCGACTTTTGCTTTCTTTATAGGTAGTTCCAAGCACTTTAGAAAACGTTCAGTATTTTCAAGTAAAAGAAACATTAAACAGCTAGTCAAATTAGAAATATGCTAGAAATAAAGAACGAAAAGCATCAAACTTTATAAAATATGTTTTCAAATATCACTATGCGATAGCTCTGTCTATATTAGCAAATGTGTTGTCTGTATATCCATCAGTATTAATACTACGTAGTCATTATTTTACAATGGTATTATTTGTTTGCCCGCTCTAATTGGCATGTCGATGTAGCTTTTGTCTCTGTCAGCTGATTTCTCTTATTTCTAGAGAGCTACTTTTGGCCACATTCAGTTGTATGCTCCCTGGTACCCTGGTTCTGATCCTTGGCTTTTTCTCAATACTGCACTCATGGTTGAATGCCTTTGCCGAAATGCTACGATTTGCTGATCGTATGTTCTATCGGGTATGGCATTTATTGGAAGTACTTCTCTGCAAATGGTGCTTGGAGAGGGAGGGGGTGTTGCTGAGTTTCTGATCTGCTTTTCTGAAAAAGTTATCTTCAATGCATGGAGCCCCAAAGAATAAAGAGTGGTCCCAGGAAAAACGTAGAAATTTACAGTTATTCTTTTGTTGGGTTATTTTCGGAAATGTTAAAATCATGAGCAAAAATTCAGGATAGAATCGTGAAATAAATGGTTTCGAGGCACTTGCACCCGGGATATTTCCAACCTCCTTCAGCAACATTCTATTGAATACATTGTGCCTGTAAATAGTCAGAAATTAAACTATTTATCATTAATCAATTTTCATTAATTTTTTTTAGTTGGCTTTTAAGTGAGTTTGTTCCAGTCTAGCTCTATTTTTCATTGCTCTTGTATGAATTCTAACATATTTCAACTAGTATGAGACGAGGCTATGGTATTACAGATTTTAAAATGTTTCTTAAAATGTCATATCTTTCTAGCTTTTCGATTATAAATGAATTTTGATTGAATATTCTTCCTTCAGGACTGGTGGAACTCCTTCTCATACGCAGCATATTACAGGATGTGGAATGTTGTCGTTCATGATTGGCTCTTTGCTTATATCTACAAGGACACTCTTCTTTTGTTTGGCGAAGATAAAAAGGCGCTGGCAGCCATTTTAGTTTTTGTTTTGTCAGCCATTGCTCATGAGTACATTCTCATACTGGCCTTTGGGTTTTTCTTCCCGCTTCTATTTTTCATGTTTGGAGGTGTCGGATGTGAGTGTAACTTATATCTTCTTTTTGTTTTTAAGATTCCAATGTAAGAATAGCTAGGTACCAAAAGTTTTTTTCGATTTATTATGCTGATGCAAAACCAAGATTTTTTCATCAGTTTCGGGGAATTATGTAAAACAAAAGAAAGGTAAATCCAAGAAAAAAATCATTTCGAACAAATGGCGCGTATATATGCAATTCTTTTGTAACCCATAAAAAAATGTGCATTTTTAACGTTTTTGCTTGCATTGAAGAACCAGGTTGTTGTTTTCTCTTTATTTTACGAAAGCAGTTTTCGTTTTCTCAATTCTCGATTGATGTTTTTATACTAAATGCTTCCCTTTATATTGTTAGTCTTATTCAGCCTAATTGGACCAAAGAAAGGAGCAGGCCAACCCCACTCAGCTTGGAATATCTTCATGTGGGTCAGTCTTATTCTTGGAAATGGCCTTTTGATGTGTCTGTACAGTCAAGAGTGGTATGCAAGCAAAAACTGTCCAAGAGATATGGTAAAATTTTATACATTTTAGATTAATGGGCTGTGGGTAAAGAAATTGATGTTTTATAGGGTAAGGGAATATATATATTCACCTTAGACAGGCTTGTTGGGGAGACGAGGTCTCACTCCTATTGTTCGAGACAAAAGGCTTAATGATTTGTTCGAGCCAATCAACGTCGAGGGGCAATGACGCATGCGTATTCTAACAAATATTCCCAACAAAATTCCTGGCCATCCCCAACACGCAAAGACAGGAAACACACAAAGAGAACAGTAATTTTAGCTACGTGAACAAGTTTCATCAGTTCCTGAGGAGTTATAAGAATATAATTAAGGGAGGTTTCGTTGATCCTCGGAGATCCTCGGGGGTTTCCTTGGAGATGTTGTAAAACCGAAACATCAAAATCCGAGGCTTTTCGCCTTAAAAATTTGAAAAATCGAGTTGAAGGTATTTCTCCTGTTGTTTTTAGTCGATTAAGATGCCTAGGCCTGGCTCTAGTTAAGGAGGTCAGTTCACATCAGGTTGTGTTGTTTACATCGAATGTCTAATCTACGTTAACACTTAAGTCGCGTCATGAAATTCTCGATGTTTTTGCTTACCTTTGGAAGTTTGGAAGCAAATCGGGACTTAATACAAACGAAATACATAATCAACAGAGAATACAGGCAGGTTTTTCAGTATGAACGATATTTCTGCCATGACTAAACTCCGAATGTCAATGTGAATGATTAACCCCACCGCTCTTATAGATTGTTCTTTCCTCGAGATTGGGGGGGTGGGGGTGGGCTAATCATTTAAATTGACATCTAAATATATAATTATATGCCTCTTTATCTCTAATACGCATGTGCCATGGCCCCAAAACGGGGGTACCCATTTCACACTCAGGAACTTGCTGCATTTCATCTACCCCAAAAGGCAAACTAGTTGATTGACACAGTTGCTGAAGAGCCCTTTTGAGCAGATCTAGTGTCGTTAACAACCACTCCACTCCTTCATGTGAGTTAGCCACATTGATATTAAAGAACTTCATATACTTGCCACATCGTTTCTCACGATTGGCTTTCTTGGCGACTTTGGATACCTCAATGGGACAACTTAACCAGAAAAGGAAAGTTAATAAATTGCAACCGATGCTTTCTTCAAATAGCCCTACAATCTTGAAGTCGTTTCACTACTGCTTGACTTTGAATAATCCGTAAATCTTTCTACCAAAACGTGATTTGTATTTTCTAATTATCTTTTTAAAAAGATTTACAGATTGTTGTTTGAATATTCAGTTTTATTGGCTGTACTATTATTTTATTTTATTGCAGATCTTTTTAGAGACTTATTAGATATCTACATTTTGAAACATTTTGTTTATTTCGACCTGTTTTCTAAATTTTTCAAAAAGATGTTGGGTCGATTTTTGTTTGTTTACCTCTCAATGTGATATGTGTTAATTTTTAAAATTCAGTTAAAATATGTTTCATCTTAATTCTATCAAATCGATTTATTGATCATTTTATTTGTCAAGGTATCTTGTTTTCTTGAGTAAACTTCCTATCAACTCTTTACCAGGACTCCACCATCTTAGCTCTTATAAGTTTTGGAAGAAGCTAGATTTAAATTTGTTTATTCAGGGAACTTTTTGGTAAATTGACATTGTTCCTAAACTGTGCTCACCAATTCGTTGATTTTGAACCCTTATAAGAAATATTAGTTTTCTTAATCCTAAGAATCTTGTTTACAGGCATAATATTCTAAAGATATCTATTATTCAAAACAATTCAATATTACCTGTCATACCCAAAACGCTTTCCAGTTTTGTATTTTGTATTTTATGCGCTCTACATTCATGTTTTCAAATCAAGACAATTTTGTTTGTTTATAATCGGCAGTCAAAGATATCAGAAGTTTTAATTCCTCGATCTTGGAGCAGTGATTGCGTGAAATGGAGTTGGGACGTGGACAAAAGGCTCCCAGCTTCCCCGCTTCTGAAATCACGATAATGTAAGTTCAAGCTTTTCCACCTTTTTGTGATAAATAACGTTATTCATCGCTCGTTTATTTGCTATCTCACGTTCAAGTTGTCATTTGTACTGCAGACAATCAAGATAGACAGTAAGAAAACCCTTTCCGTGTTAGAATCAAGAGGGTGTTCAGGGTAAGCGTTGCTCCCCTCCAAAGTTGCTTTTGTTTTTAGGAAGAAGTAAAACAGGGTGTTATGTCTAAACAAGCTGTACCGTAAGTCCTCAATTTATTAATTTAAGTCATTTTTAGATGGGGGCTTATGATTGAGTATTCGAGAACAGGGGGGGGGGGGCTTATACGAGTAGGGCCAATTGATAGATTTACTATAAGATTTACTTATAGATGTCCTTTGAGCCTTACTTTTTCTTGCTCTGATTCTCCCCCTTTAGGCTGATTTTTCGTTTTGATGTCTTACTTTTCTTTCAGAGATTATTGGAAACCTTCTACGCATATCTACGTGGAGCTTTTGAATATGGTACTTCGTCAGGTTTCTGATGTAAACGGGTTTTGCCATGATATGAATGTGAAAGATTCTAACTAATGCATAAGAATGTTAAATGATATATAAAATTTATTGCCAGATTATGTTTAATTATACATTCGTCTCAGGCCAAAACCCATCTTAGAAGTTGGAGCCGATTGCAATTTGCAACAAAGAAAACCGCATGTAGGGTCTATTCATATCCCTTCAAATTTTGAATCATGATATCCCCTCATATATTCAATCCTTTTTTACCAGATTAATCATCTGATTGGCGCCATTTGCTGGAAGCTTCAACTCGTATTTCCTTGGTTTTAGGCCTGAGTGATTTTTTTACTGACAATTTCAATCGATGCATACTGTTTATTTCTAGATAATTAGACCGTTCACAACCACGTGTCATGTCATCGATTTTGTAATTCGTACGTACAATGCAGCTTTAGAATAAATGAATATTGGTTAAATTTGAAATATGAAATATACAGTTGTTTAACGTGATAAAACTGGGAGGTTTAGTTCACAACTACAGCTTCAGTTAAAATATTTTTACGACCCCTCCAGGGTTTCGCTAAACTCCGCTTATGGTAGTAGTAAAACGTTTTTGACTTATGTTATAGTATGGTGCGAGTAATATTTTATTTCTAGTTTTGATATAATTTTTAGCTCATGCCTAAGCGTTTTATTAATGGCTGGTTAGAAATAATTTTCTGCCATCACGCTTCTGACACAAATTTTTTTTAATTAACAGAAACCTTTTCGCCACCATCATAATATTGCTTTATAATAAACACCAGACAAGAATTTAAATCAAATATTAAATATTAGATAGCATTTAGTCGTATATTTCGTATCATTTTGTTTTGGGGAAAATTTTAGAAGTTATAATTTTATTGCAATTATCCGTCCCTTGAACAGTGTCCTAAGGACATTTGTTATCGATTGGCTACTATGATGGAACTAATTTTTATCAGGTAAACATGTATTCTCTTATTGAGCTGTCTTTAATCAATGCTACGGAAAATAGGAGAAGGGTAGGTGTGATTGAATGATTCGAAGTATCTCAAATGAGACTACAGTTTCGTGTCGAGCATATTCATCAGCGCGAATAAAGACGGTGATAAATTGATGACAAATGTCTTTGAAAGTGAGCAAGAGACGTACTTTTAGACAAGGTTTCTTAGCTTGTTTTTGATTCTTGGAAAACTTCCAGTTTCATTTTCGTATCAAAAATTTCAAGTTTTATTTTCATATTTTTATACAGTTAAAATTCAATTTTTGGAAAAACCAAACTTCATAAAAATACTTCAATTGACTTGCTATAAAAACGCGATTGTTTCAAATTATGTCAGAAACACAAGAAAAGGCTGCGTTAAGAAGGGGGAATAGAGAGGAAATTCATAACAACATAGCTCTTAATACGAGGTATTATACTGGAAAATGATGGTAGTAGATTGGGGGGTTAAGAATAGGATCTTGTCGCTGGAAAGTAATATTGAGGTAGTTTTAGGGAATTGTTAATTCACATCGTGCTTCGCATTATTTAATAAATTGCAATAATGTAAGGATTGATGGCGTCACTAGGCTATCAATCTAAAACTCTGTTCTACAATTTTGTCGTTAATTCGATTTTTTTATCGCTTTTTTATTTTAAACCTTAAATATTGTAATTAAAATGGACGTCTTTATTTCACAAAACAAAAGTTTTATGGACTTTGGTTATCCTTAATGTAACCTCAAAGTATTTTCTACTGTTGCAGACCTTTGTAGAATTTTCAAATAGGTAGGCATCCTGTTCAATTGTCTATGGGTTCATTTATTCCTCCATTCATTCATTCATTCATTCATTCATGAATTAATTAATTAATTCATTCATTCATCCATTCATTCATTCATTTATTCATACATACTACTTTTATTGCGTTATTGTGATGCATACCATTTATCAGCATAGCTGAAGGGCTACCCTCCTTAAACATTTGAAATGAAATGAAATACCGCATTTCCTCTAATGAACGCCGCCCTCGGATAAACGCCCCCCTCTATTGAACGCCGCATCTTAAAAAGCGGAATGCATTTTGAAACACCCGAAACAAGAAGCAACGAATTGTTTACACGCTTACTATTCGAAAGCTATGAAGTTATGTCATAGAGACGATGGCTCTGAAGGACTTTGGCATTCCTTGACATTTCTATAACGCTAACACATCTTTTGTGAACTTTGAAAAAAAATTCGCACAATCTTTATTACGTGTTTTTGGAAAAGAAAACATTGTTTAAAGTTTGTAAATAACTTTTTTCATCGCACTTTCCTTGTCATTTTTCATTGATCGAACTTTTCATTTTGTATTGAACGCCGCCATCTGCAAAACGTCGCCCTCTATTAAACGCCGCATCCAAAATTTGGATTTTGTAATGAATGCCGCGGCGTTCTTTAGAGGAAATACGGTACTACTATTATGTTTAGATTCTGGACTAAAGGGAACTTTGGATTGAAATCCTACGTCTTAGTTGAAACGAAAGAATGATGATGTCTAGATTATTACCGAGAATTAGGTATATTTTGTCTTCCAAAAGCGCTGATTGTTTTTCCTCCAAAATGCGAATACACATGTTAACTTAAAGCATCTCAATGTGTGAATGTTTTCTATATCACAAATCCTTTGAAAGTAACAAGGTTTTTGAATTACCCAATATCTTACCAACCATTTATTTCCCTACGCTGCCTGAACGTGAGCCTTGCTAGTATGTCTGACTTTTGGCCTTTAAATATGTGCAAAATTCTTGCGAGGAAACTTTTACTGCTCTTTCTGAGCAATTCATTACGAATTAATGAACTATTTATCCACCATTAGTTAGGGTGTTTTTCCCACTGATCAATCAGTGCAAAGTGGCCTGGTGACTAGATCTTAATTAACTTTGAGGATCACTGTGAAGGCGCATAAACATATCAGATCTCTAGTGGTGTGGTTACCTTTTCTGAGTTTGTAAAATGGCGCCGATATTATGTACAAATTCGACATTCTTAATTTGTGTGCAGTTGAATTAGCTGATTTACAAAGTAACTGACTGTAAGCAGCTGCAAGAGAAATCAAGAACCAAAGACTTGTCATATCGACTCGGCGCACATCGAACAATCTGGGACAGTCTTCCTGCGGTATGGATAATTGTTTTGTATTGCTAATTTTTCACCAAAACAATGGACAAACAACAATTAGGCCGATTTAGCATATTTGTCGCAAAAATGGCAATACTGATCACTTGAAAGGAATAAGAGAGTCTGGTCTTGCATGGTTTTTCGATTCCAGTTTTGTAGAAAATATCTGGATATTGTTTTATTTTTAGCTGTGTAATGTGTATTCTAGCGGTGCGGGTTCCAGGAGAAGCCGTAAGTTGAGAGTTCTCAACTTCGAGTAAACATATTTTTGACCTGCCGCTACATTTCTTATAGTTTGGTGGACCTAGTTCTTATTTTCTCTCGTGAAGGTAGAGAAACCTCCAAATATTTATCTTAATCCAATAGTACATTTTGCCAGCTCGTTTAACGGGATTACGCAAATATGAAACAACGCTTTAAACCCGAGAGTGACGTCATATATAAATCAACTTTGGTGATCAAGTTGTTTGTGTAAGGTTTTATGCTAAAAGCGATTTTATTTTGAAGATGCTTAGCATGTTATTACTTCTTCTTTGGGACAATGGGACTCAACAAGTTCACATGGTTGCAGGCATCATATTGCTGTCAACAGGTGACCAGGATCTTCCATTGTTACTGGCAGTGTTCCATTTGATCCATTTGTTATCAGCGAGATTCCGATAAGATGAGTGAGATAACTCACTCTGTCAAGATATAAGCAAAAAAAGGACTCAAAAGAAAATAAATTTTTCAAGTTACTTGACTCATCTCTGTGATAAGTCTGTTGCTATAGTGACAGGTCCTGTCAAGTGAGAAGTTCTGCCCAGGCAAACCCTAAAGTAATTGTGTCTGTGAGCAAATGTGCTTTAAGGAAAAAAACCCCAATGACCAAGGCACAAGATCATTGTTTGAGAAAATGAGAAAAGAAGGAATTGTTTATTGAAAACAAAGAATTTTTAAGGATCATTGAAAACGCAAGCCCAGCAAGAACAGCAGTAGTTAAAACCTTGTAGGGCTAGGTGCACTTGTATCAAAGCTTAATGCGATTGTCTTAGCCAAACCTAACAGGCAAAGGAAAAGCCAAAATCTTCTTTGTTTTTGGTAATTTTATTATTTTGGAGCAATGATAAAATCAATATGCTGCAAGGCAAGCTAAGTCAGTTGCTATTCAAGAATCCAAGATCCATGTTGCAATACTCTATTCGTATCCAATGACATGGGATCATATGTGGCATATCATTGCCCAAATAATTGGCTACAGTTTGAGATGTTTAAGAAATGTTTATAGAGGTAAAGATTTTTTGAAAAATCAATTGATATTCCAATTTCTGATTCTCCCAATGTACTCCTTGCAATTTTTTTAAAATGCTGCTTCTGCAATCCTTTTGAATTAACATTATATTAAAACTGCTGTCGTCCTTTGATGAGCATAAAGTATTGCAAAAAGATCCCTGGATTCCAGCCCCAAAAACGTATGGATGCAAGGATGGCTCATAGTTGACTACAAATAAATTGTTCTTGGGTCTGAATCCCTGACATGACCAAACTTTCACGCATAGTGAGGGAAGTTGCCAGCTCTCTGCATTTCCAGCTGTAGGAAGCATGAGGTGAGGTCATATTGCGAGGAAGAGCCAGCATACTGCTTGATAAGCTTCTCAGTCTCCTTAAAAACTACCTTCAGATGCTAGATAGGAGCAAATACAAATAGAAAATATTCTGGAAATGGAACTAGTTTGTCTATGAATAAGTTAAGCTGCTCTAAAATGTTTGATATAATATTTCAGCAAAATATGCAGCTATAAAGATACCTTTAGTTATACATTTTCAGAAAAAAAGTTCCATAATAACAAAATCTATTATGTAAGATTTTTTATTTAAATTACTGTCCCTTTGGATTTTTGTAGGACAACAAAACAAGGTGCCATCTTCTATGTTGTTGCCTACTGACTAAGCTTTGATTTTTGACAAATCGTCATTGAAACCTGAGATAATTTGATGGAATCTCATGGTAATTTTGTGTGTGTTGCAAGCTCTACATTTTCTCAAACATTGTGCTTTGATATTCATAAATCATCTAAAATGGTAAATTTATTTTTGATAAATAGAGAAAATGAAATTGGTATAAATCAACAGTTGTTGCTTACGAAGCCATTATCTTCTCAGAGCTAGACAAATCACTTGTCATCTTTGTTGGGATGATTTTTTTTAGATACTTAGTCAGTTTGTGAATCAGGCAAATTTTGCAAGGTTAACAGGTTTAAATATCTCTTTTATCTCAAGAAAGAATGTCAAAGGCCTTGCTGCAGTATTTTAACTTGATGGCCGTTTTTCTACCAATGGTTGGCTACTGAATCTATTCCCAAAGTCCTTAAAAGTCACATTTTAGAAAAATAAACAGGCAAACATACCAGAAATGTCTAGTTTCAACCTGTATTATTTGACTTGAACTAAACCTGCATCAATTATTTATCCTATGATGTTATAGAAAAACAACTTTTGTGGCATAAAATTTAGACTTTTCAAGTTTTTTACTTTTCAAGTGATCTGTAAAAACGATGGATTCTGTGTCTTTAATCTTACTTTTGTCTGCAACAGAAATATTTTCTATGTTACCAGTAACCGGAGTATCTGACCTCTGTTTAAAACTTTTGTTGTCTTCCTTATTTTTCCTACAATTTGCATTATGTGGTTTTCCTTTTGGTTTGACATATAGCAACATCAAAATATTTATATAATGGTCATATTGTTGTATCAGCAGGACAATTCCATGCTATGACATAACTTATTCTTCCTTATTCAATTTTTGTAAGAAGGTTGAATTTCATTCAGAATTGAAAAGTTATGTTTTCGTTAAGTTAGAGGTGTTATGCTTCTTTTGTATCTGCCAAAGGTTAAATATACATGACAGTTCTTACCATACAATTTCATGTAGTTTACTGAGAATTTGCATTGGCAGAAACATTATCCATGAGAAAGTTGATGCCTTCTCATTCATGTTCTTTATAAGATTTGTAAAGTTTGATTTCACATCAATGGGACAGCCAAGATAATGGTGACCTACATTTTCTTCAAATGTTTTTATGATCATGTACACAAAAGGTTTTGCAAGAGATGTTTTGCTGCAGTTTTTAATTATTTAACTCCTTTTGAACATGCAATTTTTAGAAGCTACATTCTTTATAATTTAATTAAGCTGTTACTATGCATTGCAGATTTTTCTTTTAGTAATTTGAATTTAATATTTGATATTACTTTTTCAGTTTGTGCTATAAAAAATAGATGTATTAGAAATAGTACTCAAATTGGCTATAATATGGCATATCAACAGTGGTGTAGTGCTATCATAAATGATAAAAGGGTCTCTTGCAGAAAATGTTGCGAAAAACAATATATAGCAAGAAATTTTCCCAATTTTGGCCAATTTTGCCAATTTGCCAATGAGGGTTCAGCCCCATGAGCCCCCTTAGCACTACACCACTGCATACCATGCACAGGCTGACTAACAGCTCAAGGGACCAGCACTGTATTGCCTGGTGTAAGGCAATATTCTAGGTTCTAATTTTGGATGTTAGGTTGCAAGCCTGGACCCTTAAAAATGCAATAAGACCATTTGATTAAGAAAATGTGCAATTTAATTTTTAGACTTTTTGGGTAAGAACAGTCCACATTTATCATGGGTCCTAAAACAATGGTCTCATTGCCCCCTTGCAGCAACCCTGATCAAAAACTGAGTGTATGCATTATATTCTTTCTCCTATTTTCTTTTTATAAATGAATTTGTTTATTCAATTTTAGCTGAATGCATTGGATATGGCACAGCCTCAAGCACAGTCCAGTGAGTGTGCTGCAGCAGTTGACATACCCTCTAAGATATCAGCTCCGATTGCAGAGAATTGGTGCTACACAAACGTCAAAGTTGTTAAGTTTTCCTACATATGGACAATAAACAACTTTAGTTTCTGCAAGGAAGAAATGGGCGAAACACTTAAAAGCTCAATTTTCTCTGCTGGTGTTAATGACAAAATGAGATGGTAAGATCATTTGATTATCTTTCCTAACCCAAAATATGATGTTTCATTTCTAACTTAGTGTACAAACCATTTTTATTTATTTTGTTTTGTCATTGCATGGCAAATATGATTAATTGGTTGAAGAATATTTTAGATGCTTTATCTGTGTGGTGCAACCTAGCTGCCAAACATTTTTGCCTTACATTTTTAAACAGAAGATCTTATCTAAAATTCGCTTTTTCATATTTTAGAGTTTTAACTGTGTTTAGCGTATCATATTTTAGAGATTTTGGAGAAATTGTTATGATGTGGGTTTATAGTTATGTCACATTACAAACTAAATCTCTTTTGTAAACACATTGATGAGAAAAAAGGACATTTCAGACACTCTTATAAAACTTTACCTGGGTTTTCTATCAAGGATAACCAATAAAATGTATAAATGTAAAGACAGATGAGTTTTTCTTTCTGTATTTATGATCCTTGTCTAGACTGCTTTTGTAATTTGGTGAATTATTTGCTATCAAATAAATGTAGATTTTGCCTGTGTCTGCCATTTCGTTTCCATTTCATAAAAAACCTACTCACTTCCATTTATTTGCTAAGGTGCTTGCGGATGAATCCCAAAGGTCTAGATGAAGAAAGCAAAGACTACTTATCACTGTATTTATTGCTATTATCCTGTAATAAAAGTGAGGTCAGGGCAAAGTTCAAATTTTCCATCTTGAATGCGAAAAGGGAAGAGACAAAGGCCATGGGTCAGTATTTATCACTTAATATTTTATTTTAGGACTATTGTCTTATTTACATTCTAAAGAAGATTATTCCTTTTCTTCTGAGAGAACTTTAGAATGGTGAATTCGCTCCAGTTTTTCAACTCTTTTTCAAACAATGTATTGACTTGAAATTTCTGTTTGTTTTCTAGAGAGCCAAAGAGCCTATAGATTTGTTCAAGGTAAAGATTGGGGATTCAAAAAGTTTATACGAAGAGATTTTTTATTAGAAGAATCAAATGGTTTACTGCCAGAAGATAGATTAACTATATTTTGTGAAGTAAGTAAATTCAATATTTCATGCTCATATTAGAGTAGACCCCTTTTGTTCTTTCATTTATATCTCACACATGAATTCTAAGATTTGGACAGATAGATAAATTATCAATAATCTTCACTTTATTGTTCAAGATGGAAGTTCTGTGTAATTATGATTGTCTATATATGAGCTCATACTGTTTAGCTCTTTATTGTATGCAACAAGAGTATGATAGAAAAATCTTATTGACGACACAAATAACACTTGAGAAGCTCTTTCCTATCAAAAAATGTTGTCAGTTGATATAAGCAAGGAGAGTAAGGATGAATGGTCTCTTGTCAACCATATTAAATGTTTTTTGTTGCACACTTTACCATTGTAGTTTGTGTTTTGGTAACTGCAGGTTATCTTGACCCAGTTTGTTTGCTCAGTTTCAACATGTTTACGTGCAATGATGTGTCTGAAACACGCTTCTTTGCTGTCTATTTAGTTTAGAACTTTGATAAAGATATGTGCTGACAAGGCTAATCTGTCACGCTTCTCTAATTTCAAAGAACCTTCGAAGTTCAACAAACCGCTATGCCCGCCTCACTTTAATTTTCCAAAAATGTTATCGTTTCAGTATTATACTAAGGTCGTTGATATCTTATTTATTCACAAAGGGCGTTGCCAATCTTTTTAAAACACCAAAGACCACCCTAACATATTTAAAGCTAAATCGTACAAGGGGCCACATGAGAAGCCTAAACTGTGTTAGTGGGCGATAGCCTACACCGACGATAACTTTATTTTGCGCAATTCAATTGCAATGTAAAAAACAATACTACATAAAATATTTTGATTGGTACTGGTTATCAGAAATGTAACGATGTAACGTAAATATTTTTATAAATGTATGAAAATGTGGTGTAGCTCAAATTGAAAAATACTTCTACAAAAGTTCATGTTTTGATTGATCACACACTCACAGGGGCCGGACAAAAACGTCTAAAGGGCCGGGGATGTGGCCCACGGATTGTAAAATTCCCAGGTCTTGGCTAGGTAGCTCCCAAAGTTCTTCTCCGGATGATGGCTCTAATAAAAGTTGTCCTGAATTAGAGAAAATGACATATTTTGTTTTGCTGTCCGCGGGAATAGACTAAAAATAGTGCCCACTTCGTTAGTACAACGTCATGCAACTTTTTTGTAACATTTTGCAATTTTTGTAACATTTGTCGTATGGTGCTCTATTTGTTTTGTCATAGATGTCATTGATAGCTGTATCAATGTCTCTTAACCTTGTCCCTGTGAAAAGAAAAATTGCAGATATTATCTGAATCAGATTTTTCTCTTTCAGGTAAGTGTTGTCGCAGATTCGGTCAACGTTTCCGGACAGTCTGGAATGGGGAATTTTAAAGTACCGGAGGACAATTTATGCACTGACCTAGGGAAACTATTAGAAGAAGGACTTTTTAGCGATATCACCTTGATTGTCGGCGACCAACGCTTCCCTGTACATAAAGCACTACTGGCATCACGGTCTCCAGTTTTTGCTGGAATGTTTAGGCATATAGAAATGGAAGAAAACAAACAGGGCATTGTTCAGATCAAAGATTTAGAGCCGGATGTTTTAAAAGAAATGCTGAAATACATTTATACCGGTAAAGCTTCGCAGTTAGAAACTATGGCCAGTGATTTACTCTCTGCAGCTGACAAGGTAAGATTCTAACTGTTCAAGTATCAAGTGCTAAGATACTTCTAAATTATCTTATTATCCTAGTTCAAACTTTTCCTGGAGTTTCCCCCATTTTTCGTTGAAATCATATCAAAATTTCGTTTTTCTGTGTTGTGAATGTTAAAACTTCATTGTTTTCGTTTTGCTTTGCCTAGAAAGTCGTGATTCGGTTAGAAAATGCCCTTATATCCCATAGCTGATACAGTTTTCGTTAGAGTTTTTGCAGATCAAGTCCAAGTTTTGTTACAACGATTATTTTGTACGGTAGTTTCATGCACCAACTTCATATAAAGGATATTATGGACCTCTTTGCAAAATTCTGTACAAGTTTACGTCAAATCTGAATATTGCTAAGGCGTCACTTCCATAGTGTTCCTGGCCATAAAATCAAAACCACACTACATTTTTGTTTGCGAGAAAACAACTTTTGCAAACAAAGATACAATCCCCCTTTTTTATTTTAACGTTATTGATATGTTTTTTTTTCCCCAAGAAGCCTTAAGTTGAGAAGAGATATATTTTCTATTGGAATTAGTGACCGGAGCTGGAGTCTGACACGCCAAGAAATTTTGTGTTAAAAATGAGCAATATTGATGCATTTATTTTCATTATTACACGTTTTTGTTTCTAGTATGCGCTGGACAGACTGAAGATGATGTGCGAGGAAAACCTAGCTTACAATTTATCAGTTGACACTGTTTGCAATGTGCTTATTCTCGCCGATTTACACAACGCACAAAATCTCAAATCTATAGCAATCGATTTTACAAATAGGTATGCTTTATATCCATCTAATCCTTTTTATATCTGAATTTCTGAATTTCCTATCAGATACTTTTAGAGTCTGTTTTGTTGTATTTTTAACGATTCGTGAATAAGCACAATCTGAAGAAATTTCGCTCGTAATTGGAGTTGCGTGTAAATAGATTTTGAATCACTAAATTTCTGTCCATATCGTATCTTCAGCCAGGAGTTAGTGCAATAATATTTGTTTTAAAACAATCATTTTGTGGTGCAAAATTTAAAAATGGCTTTGAAAAAACAAACATTTCAGAACATACTTAAGCTATTCGTCTGGCACTCTTCAGAGTATAAGGCGTCAGAACATAGATCAAAACACTGCATTTGAAAAAGCCGCTATTGTGTAGACGGAAAGTGTTATTAAGATCCACAACTTGGTATATATTTCCTACCATAGTGTTTTGATCTATGTTCTGACTTTTTATACTCTGAAAGAGTGTCAGACAAAATCTTTAATTTACTCAAATGTTTGCTTTTTTTAAAGCCAACATTTCTGTAATAAGGCTTTTCTTGGCTTGCAAAAATGATAGAATTGAAGTAAATCTTTTGCAACATTAAGTATTGCTGGAGGCAGCTGATGATATGCAAAAAATACACTTGAAAATTGACTGTTGTCTCTCTTTCTATGTCATTTTTAGTCAAAGCTGTTTCTTTCTGCAGACTATACCTCTTTATTCCATCAATACAATTTTAATTCCTTTGTCTCGTTTTAAGCCACGCAACAGAGGTTATGGAAACAGAGGACTGGAAACGACTTGTAGTCAGTCATTCGAACATTGTAGCGGACGCTTTTCGTGCCCTAGCTAGTCTTAAGGCCTCGCCGCCTATTTGGGGACCTCCTAAAAAGAAGCAAAAGCCAGGTTAATTTATTTTGATTTTTAAGTACATTTATAGTAATTGGATTCCGAATTGTGCTTTGTTAAAGCATTCAATCTCCCGTCTGATGATTATAACTCTTAGTAAAGCGCTCTTCAGTATGCTGTTTGATGGGATAAACACACGTGGAATAAAGTTCCTTGGGCTTTTAAAGATGATTTTACAAATTAAGATTGCCTCGATAGTAATAACCAGCAAAATTACTTGATGCATTTCAAATGACACGCGTGTAATAGTTTTCAGGCCCAAAGATGGTTTTCTTACGAAAAAAATTAATTTATCGTCTGTTTGTGTCGCCACCATTTCTATGTTTTTATGTTTGGATATGTATTATATAAATATACTCAAAATGACAAATAGGCTTGTTTCACATAAGCGCCAGTCTTACAAGCAATGTGAGACTCACACAAATCATTCTTGTAACTTGCATCGAATATTCCCAATACTTTTTATCATTTTCTCATCAACCATAATTTTGGCTAGTTAATTTTTCGATACATAAAGTTTGTTTTGACATTTTGAAATTTATAAATTTGTTTCCGATAAAGGTCAATGTCCAAAGGTTTTCACCGTTCGTTGAAAATTAATCGCTCCACACCCACTTGTGTTTTTATACAACTATCCCAACGGTGACTGAATTTGTTTGTGCTTGAAACAATACAGGTTTTTCAACGCCCTGCTGTACGTCAGATTTTTTTATCAGATACTCATCATATATTAAAAAAGCAAGATGTTATATTCAGCAATAGAATATTCATTAAAATTGATATTTGATAAAGCCTGACTGTGTAACCTTTATGCAAATCCGTTTGTTTTTACCTAGCTGACGGAATCGTTTTCTATGCTACATTCCTAAGATTTTAACTCGAAGTAATTCTTTAAACCAGTCCGAAAGCGTCCACAGTCCAAATTTTTTAGTTACGCCTAAAAGTTACATGGAAGGAGCGCTTGCACTGGTCAAGCCATATTTCTTCTAATCCCCATTGCACTTTACACTCCCCATCTTCCTCCATCCTTAACATGTACCACACTTAAACAGCTCTTGTAAGAACTATGGTATTTAAGTAAAAACACGCTGAATTTATTGTTTCTTCTTTCATGAGTTAAGAACAACTCTACCCTGTGTACATAAAATGTCGTGCCAGTTGTTAACGAGATGAAAATAGATTTTTATTTTAGCTATTTCAAAATCAATTACACGATAGTTGTTAAGTGTGTTGAAATTTTTTATCGGAATCTGGGTGTATTGACAGCCGGCTGTTGCAAGTGAATATATTTCAGTTCCAGGCTTATTGAAATACAGCTGCAGATGTTTTGGCTCTATAAAATCAATGGTTGCTCCTAGTTTTGCACCCATGAAATCCACCTTGCTCATTTGCCTCCAAAAGGATATGATCCAAAGACTTGTTTGTTGTGAAATTTGTGTGGGTTCATCTCCTCACGTCTGCTACATTGAAGAAACATTTTGATGGCACGGAATTACATTTAGGTAAATAGGTCTTTTTCAAAGGAATGTCAATGAATGAATAAGAGTTTTTTGGCTCCCAATTTAATCATGATCAGGATAAGGACTGCCAGTTCCCAGGGAAACGTGTTCCCAGGGAAAGATAACGGTATCGCCACATTGTGCCCTGAAAATCCAAGGCACTTAAATTGTTATGCCTATCTAGGGAATTTAGCTAACATGTGTGGTTATAATACATTATAAAAAGTATATTCATTTAGGTGTCCAATCGGGTCTCTTGATAAATCAACGACTACTGTCAAGTATCCCATGTGAATAGAGAGCTGATTAGAACATGCAAAATGCACGTTGATATTTGTCCCAAGTGGAAAACCTGTGCCTTTATCATGAACACATAATCACAGTCGTCTTTTATTCAAACCAACGCACCAGAAGACACAAACACGAAATTATTCATTCTTCTACAACAAGATGTGTCCGTCACAGGCATCTTGAAGCTAGAAGTCGAAACTAAAAGGCTTCCCTCTTCGTTTCAATGTATTAAAACAAAATGAGTCGCTTCATATTCTTTACCATCACTGAAAGCAGGTAAGTAAAAAAAAGAAACTAACTCGGTTTTTTGTTTTTAATGTGCTCGACTAACAAACCCAATTTTCATTTGATACCTTCAATCGTTATTATGTTATCAACTTCATATCAGGGGATATAGTGTTCAGTTCAATATAAATCAGTCAATTACTGTTTGGGGCATCCGAATCATTGAGAAAGTTTTGCTTTATTTCTTTTGATTAACAGTGATATAGAAGCGATCATGTTGTTTTTGTTAATATGTTGCAATCATCTTTAGGAAACGCTTGTCGATGCCCAGGCCTTCTCAGCAAGGACCGAGATAACCAAAAAACTTAAGTACCATAAGTGCTTTTATTTTGTAAAATATGACTGTTGTTTCACCCCCCCCCCCCAAACAAAAGTTGTATCTCTGTCTTTGCTTCTCCATCCGTGGCATTGGGGTGGTAAGTGGGTTCCGGGGGAAGTTGATTTTTAAAAATAAGAGTTATAAATTACATTATTATAATATTTTCTATAACTGTTATGATAGATTGTTATTCCAGGTTGTTGATGTAGGTACTCTAAACATTGAGTTTAAAGCTATCTTGAAAAGATGGAATGTTGGAATGCTGGAATGTTGGATAACAAATGCTATAATTATGTGTGGGACCTTGATATACAGGTTCATTTTGAAAGAGGGCATTACCTTACAAGACCTAAATTTCTTCTATTCAAATTCCAACATTCCAACTCCCCACATTCCATGTTTCAAGATAGGCTCAAGTTTAATTTACTTCTCTACAAAAGATAATTTGCTGTTTGGGTCTGCCTTTCATAAGGGTGCTATTACCATTTTAAAATATCATCAATAACTGGAAAAAATAAGATATCCACTCAAAAGTTTAAATTATTTATTTATAACGATTTTCTACAAGTATACAAAAATCAATTTCCAAAAATAATATTTACAGATTGGCTTTATCATGTTTGTATTTTAAGAATACTATGTTTTTCCAAGTCTTCCATTTCTTTAAGGACAGTAGCCACATTGTAGCGAAGTTCATGGAACTTTGATACAGGAACCTACAAAAGGCAATAAATTTTGACTTAAGCTAAAAGCTTTGAAATTAAGGAAATTTGTGTGCTGCAACATTGTTTAGGGATCAGTTTTTAAAGTTTGGCACAAATAATTACAACTCAATCCAGTAAGCATGTCATTTTTAAGTCAAATTTTAACCAAAAGCTTTCTTTAAAAGACATCTTTGCTACAGATAATCTAGCTGACCCTCCCTACCACTGTCATGCACACAATTGTATCGAAAGTGCTACTGAGCATTTTATTTTCATTATATTACCTACTTCAATAATGAGTTATTTTGTATTGATTCTTTTACCAGATAAACATAGTTTCACCAGATAAACATTCAAGAGCAGTGAAAAGCCAGTATATGAACTCTAAGTGATACTGCTAACTAGAGGAATGCTAGGGCATCCTAAAGAACTGGGATTCCGTCACAAAACAGCTCATGGATAGTTCCCCTGTCACTGGTTTTGAATCTACATTCTCTAAGATGACCTAGGGCATTAAACTTAACTCTGACTTTCTTAGTTCTATATTTAACAAAATTACAACTTTAGACTTTGAATAAACACCCTGGAATTTTTCCCCACAGAATCACTGTAAGGCTAAAAAATTTATAAATCTCTGAAAACTATTTCTATTTCTTCCTGGTATCACAAGTCTCTTTTCCTATTAAACAAAAAACCGACCCTGGCATAGCATGGAACTCTAGTGTCCTACAAATTTATATAAAGCTCACCTCAAATGTTTCAGATTTCCCATTGTCTAAATTCATTTCCATGAGTATGGTGGGCTCTAATACCCTGTTTAACACACTGAAAACGACAGATAGGCTTGTGAATAATGGACTTTAGAAATTCTGATCACAAATAAATGCAGAGAGTGTTGCACAAGCCTACCTTTGTACTCTGCACTTAATACATGGCTTTATAGCATGAATGTCTACTAAAATATAATATATACTAAATATTTACTTGACAGAGATATATTTAACCTTTGATACTCTACCCTGCCAAACAGCCACAAAAATGACATTGCAAGGATTGGGTGTACAGGTATATACTTTACAACTGAATGCTAGGTATCTTCATTTGCAAGTACTGTGTCCTGACAGTCAACAGTTCAGAGTTTCTCAATCATAAACAATAGAGCAGCCATTCTTAAACTCCGGCCCGCACCTGGATCCAACTTCAAATGCATTAAGTCGACCTAACAAATATTTACGTCGTAACCCAAAAATAGCACAACTGTCTTCTGATTCAACCTGGTAAAAGAAACACATGCTACAAACTTTTGTGTAAATAATTTTTTGGCTTTATATATTCTGTTACAGTTTGAAGCTTTTAGTCCCTCTCCCCTAGAGAGTTACCCCTGGCCTTGGGCATGTAAATCCGTCGGTTGTTGCACATTGAGCTAATCCCTCTAACAACAAGCCAGCATCGTGTTCCTAAATGTTATCATCACCCTTCCTTTTTCTCTCCTCTCATCCACCATTTCAAAACTTATCTCGTGAAAATAAGCATACTACATAGATTTTATGAATATAGAATATAGAATTTGTGAAACTTTTTTGACACAAGACCTGTAAAAGTTGAAAATTCAGTGAAACCCTTGAGAAAATCCACATGTTCTTCTGGCCCGGCACTCAACGGCATAAAAAACAATTTTGAGAATTTTCGAATTTTGACCACATTATATGAAAAAACACCATAAAATACTCTCATAATTGTAGAATCAATTAAATTTGTCAAAAATCGGAAGAGCTATAGCCAATAGAAGATTTGAAGTTTGCTAACGAATTAACTGCTATTTTGGCTTGATGGAGCGAGAACTTGTGCTCATCTGGTCATTTCTCAGCCAATTCGTAATACCTTTAACTGATTTTGCAGATTTAAAGATATTTCATAATGCCTTTTCAGGTTATGGGAAAAAATTTAAAAATTCTGAAAATAGATTTTTTTAACATCATCACTTGAAAACTCTTTAGGCTGTGGCATACTTATGATTGATAAAATGTTAAAAAATAAGTCTTATGTTGCTAATTGGATACGTAACAATAAGTCTATTGTATAGTCCAACCAATGGTAATTAAAAAATCCATTAAATGTGCTGGGACATAGTGCCTTTGATTGCACACACCCACACCAACATTGAGCTGAAGATGTATGCCATAGGTTGCATGCATCATACTAGTTTGGTACTAAATGTTTATGCAGATGATTGCATGTTGCTACTTCACAAGAAATTGCATCTAATTGGTAACCAAAGTATTAACAAGATTACCTTGTTGAAATTCCAACATCAACTCTCCATCTTAAAGAATCTAGTTTTGGCAATTGTATTCTATTTTCAATCAACTTCTTGTCAATCTCATGCTGCCTGTGATATAAAAAAAATATTTCAAGATGCCAGTTTCAAAAATGCAAATCAAAATTTGTTGACTAATATTACCCGCATTTAAAGAGGCAGATTAAGTAAAAATACAATATTTTTCATTTATTCAAGTGTAATTAAAAAATCACTCTACATAATTTTTAATAAATCTTTGCTGTTTGTTGGGGAATGTAACCTTGATGTTCTCTGCTTGATATGCAAATACAAATCGATGACATGTTGATTGGTCATTATAATTTGTCATTACCTATAATTGCTCTATTATAGAGTCTTGTGATGTATACTTGGTAGCAAAATAATCAGCATGCTGTTTATTTTTAACATAAATTTTTACCTTAAGTTTAGTAACTTTGTTTGAAGAGCATGGAAAAGCCTATAAGTGACTGGTCAATAAAATAAAACATATACATAGTATTCCCATGCACACCAGGCAGAAAAGGTAGAACAGGAACTGCCAAAGTGTATTTGTAAAAAACAGAATGGCCAAAAAAAATTTTATTCAGCTTTAACTTAAAATTATATAAAAATTCTTTCCCAAAGCGTATTTTAAACCAGAATTTAAAAATAATTGGGCAAGCAAGGTCTTCTTTTTTTAAGGTGTTTTGGATCCCTTCCACATCTAAAGAAAGGTTTCAAACTTGTGTAGAGAGAATAAGTATGTTTTATCTCTTGAACTCTTCAACTAGGTGAGAGGTAGACTATAACGATCCAATAAGGAACCAATCAAATGCATCATCCAGGCCTCTCCAGGAAAAAAGCAACTTAAAATGAGTCAAAGGAGGAACATAACTTTTTGGAATATACTCTAGTGTATCTAATAGAAGTGGGGAGGTAATAGAAGGGGGCAGGGGCGGCGGGGAGCAATAATAAATTGCTATTAATCGCGAGCGAAGCGAATGAACAACGTGGGTCCGGGGGCCACGCCCTTTAAAAGGGCGGAAACGCCCATCCTTTACAAGAGGGATACAGATATAAAGTTATCACTGCTCCTAAATGATGGTCTATTTTCCAAAACTACGCTCGTTTCTGAAAAATCCACAAAAATTTCTATTAAGATACGAAATATTTTGAAAAAAAGAAAACATTTCGTCTAAGCTCAAACATTATTGTTGTTTTTATTTTATTTTTACAACAAACGTGTATCGCAAATTGATCATTTTTTCAAGCACATCTATGAAAAAAATTGCAGTTATTTTCTTGAAAATCGTTCGAGCCGTCGCTGATTGCTCTCTCTGAACCTGCTAACAACATTCTGATAAAATGTTGGTTGTTTTGCCAATGATCGCAATGTACCATGCTCAACTTGTAAGAAAACAAGGTGTTCCTTTCTTTCTTGCAGCATTCTTGATCTCGATTCTGAAATCACTCTTTTCATACGGCTGAACACTCTTTCGCAGTGTACGCTTGTGAGTGGGGTCACTGCTGCAACTTCCAGGAGAACCATTGCCTGCGGAAGAGCATCTGCAAGGTCCGTGCTATGTATTACAGTGAGCAGGTCTTGCATACTCAATGTTTCTCCGTGTGCAATGTCTCCCTCAAGACCCGTACTTTCTCTAATTTCAAATTCGTCAATTTCTTCCACGTCTATCACCTCTTCCATCACCTGGTCACCAGAGCTACTTTCCTCGCGATGGCTTGCTTTATTACTTCTGTGCCTTGCTCTCCTTTGCTTCATGGCTCTGTTCCTTTCGTTCGCACATTTACGAAGAAGCAGCGAGATCTCATGGTTATTGTATAAAACTTCCAAATTGTGTTCCACTGAATTTATGTCATGAACGGCAAATGGGTACAAATCTCCGAATTCTCTGATGAGCTCTTTTATCTCATTAGGAGGCCTTTTGACATTCTCTGCAAACTTGGCGGGGTGAATCAGATCCATCCACTTGAATTTTTTGAGGTTCTCGAATCTCCATGAAATCTGCCCTGAAAACTCGATGCATACTTTTGATGCCACAATCGACAGCTTCTCTTTCCAAGCATCTTCGGATCCATTATTGTGCGTTTCCCTTCCTCTCCATCCTGCTCTGGCTCGTTCTACGGGGAAACTTGGGTCCGCATCGAGTGTAATTTGCCAAATGTCTTCAAAGCTTAGTGCAGCAAGAAAACGTTGGAAGTCGTCGAGCATAGATCTCAGCTGAACAGCATCCAATGTTGGCTTCTGCATAACGGTGATAATTGGCGTGCAATGCTCAAAGATCTTCCTGTACAACTTCAGTAAACATAGAAAGTCAACATTTTGGATGTTGGCAAGAAGACCTCTGGCTGTCGTTTGGGTGTCGACTTTCTCTCTCCCATTCGAAGACATCTGGTATAAGACTGTGCCGATTGTCTCGTAGCACGAATCGATTGCAGTAATGGCCGTGTCTCGAGAAAGCCACCTTGTATCACCAGGCTTTGGAAGATTATATCCAAGGTATCGCGTTCGCTTGGGACTGCTTCGGAAAAACGTTATCAGCTTGTCTAATATTCCAAAGAATTTAGCCACTTCTGGGATTTTCATCGATGACTGCGACGCACAAAGTGACATCCTGTGTGCAACGCAATGGTTGTAGTAGGCAAGTGGAAAGTAATCTCGCATTCTCTTTTGCACACCATTGAGCTCGCCACTCATTGTCGCCGCACCATCATATGATTGTCCAATCAGCTTTCTCTTTCCTGTCTCAGGAGTAACATTGTAGCTCCCTAATATTTTTATCATGATCTTTGTAAGCCCATCAGCAGATTGATCGTCAGATGCATCTGTGAGGCCAAGCAAATGTTCTTCGACATTCCCATCATGAATAAGTCTCACTGAAACAGCCGACTGCTCCGTGTTGCTCAAGTCACTGGTGTCATCCATCATTACGGATAAACATCTGGAAGCACTTACTCGATTTCGAATTTCATTCTGGACTTCTTGGAAAATGCATTTGATCAATTCGTTTTGTGGGTCGTGGGAGGTGTAACTTATCCGTTCCTTGTCTAGGACAACTCGCAACTCTTGACTGTAGTTCCCTAACAAGTCCATCAATTCAATGAAATTTCCCCTGTTTGGAGAGAATTTGTCTTCAGAATGCCCCCGGAAAGCGAGTCCTTGGGCAGACAAGTAGACTGCAACATCAATATGGTGCTTCATCATCTTTGAATATCTTGATGCATTTTCATTATGTCTCAGAATTTCTCTCTGTCTTGCTTCATCAAGTGCACTGGCCACATCCACATTCCCTAAAAGCTTGTACGAAGCGTGACATGTCATGTGACTTTTTGATTCTTGGTGCCTGTTAGCAACATTCGACAAATTCCTGCCATCAGATGCAAATCCAGTTGGTTGCACGAAGCAAGCCTTCATCTGAAATAAATTATGTGAATAAATTGATAAAAATTCTTCTATTATCACCCACATTTTTATAAAAGTTACAGTGGAGTTGTAACCTTGTTTTTTATATTTAGCTCGATTTTAGCATCAAACTGCTCTTAATTTCAAATAGTTGTTTGTAGAAATCGAGGAGCGTATCACCTTCGTACACCTTTGGCAAAAATACTAATGTTTTAAAAAATCTCGGACGCCTTTTGGGAAGAGTGATACACCCCTTGGTATCTTGGTAGTAATGGAAACAATTACAGCAAATGTAGTCTTTACCTAAACGCCTAAACGATAGTTAACTATGCCTAAACCTAAACATTAAGTTATAGATGGTCAGTTTCGTAAACTTGAGCATAAGTATTACTAAAATGGCTTCTTGTAGGGACTATGACAGGGACATCTGATCAATCGGTGTCTTGTGAATAAGTGTGTTCATGAAAATGCCACAATTCCTTGCGTTTGTAAAAGGTGGCTACATATGCAGGGCTGTTTAGACTACCGCGGCTCTCCGCCCCTCGTTAAAAGCCCTGCTATTCATCTTCAATTTGTAATAGCAAAGCCGCTATAAACGAGACTTTCCGACGAGAGAAAATAGTAAATAGAAAATAGTAATCTTCTTACCTTCAAATGATCTCCCATGACTAAACATGGCCAGCAGAAATATGTATTCTTCTCTGAATCACCACATATCCAAGAAAAACCTCTATACACAGCTTCACACGAACGACTTTTAACTTTAACATCGGGGCATGGGCGTCCGTCTTTTTTAAGACGAAGGCGCTGTTCATGAGTTAATTTACCTCCTTGCATAGATATGAGGGAAAAGACAGTTGAAACACCCCATCGTACACCACCTGGCGCTACTTGATTAATTTTGTATCTGAAAAGGTCTCTACTCTCTTCCCAACGTTTATCGAACTGACGATTTGTATGCGTGATCGCGTGTGAGCTCTTGCTATTCATTCCAAGAATTTAATAGCAAGGCTGTCAGATATGCGTATTTCACAATAGCCCGTTGCGTCACACCATAGCCACACTATGGCGCAACTCCTATTAGTTTCCTCCGTTTGCTATTCAGAAGGGCCAAGTAATAGCATGGCCATCGACGGCCACAGCGTGGATCAGAAAGGTATACACGCGGCATTCTTTGAATAGATTAAGTCGGGCAATCGCAATATCAAAAAGCACAGAGGGGTCAAATAAATCATGGAATGAAGGAACTGGATAAGGAAATCAAGATCCAGAAAAGATTTTACTCGTATAATTTATGTTACATTAATTTGTCTAATACAAAAGCAGAACATTTCTTTGGAAAAAAATTGCTATTAATGAAATAGCATAAATAGCACTGTCCGCCGCCTCTGGAAGGGGGGTGTTCATTCCAGCCAATTTTCAATAGAAGGGGGTGCTAATAGAAAGGGGGTGTTCATGTCAACCAGTTTTCTATAGAAGGGGGTGCTAATAGAAAGGGGTGTTCATGTTGGCTAGTTTTCAATAGAAGGGGGTTGCTAATAGAAGGGGGTGTTCATGTTGGCCAGTTTTCAATGAAGGGGGTTGCTAATAGAAGGGGGTGTTCAAGTTGGCCATATTTCAATAAAATATCAGCAAATTTCAATAGAAAAGGGGAGCTAATAGGAGGAGTGGATGTTGGTAAATCTTTTAATTAAAAGGCAGTGGAATTAGTAGGATGGTGACACTGGTTACTTGATAATGGATAGATGGTTAGAGATAAAGACAGACAAACATAACAAGGGGAATTATGACAATTGAAAAAATTACTACATAACATAACAAGGGGAATTATTGACAAGTGAAAATTGCATGTTCTGGTCATGACAGATTTGTAAAATTTAATAAAAGGGAGGTGCTAATAAGCGACGGTGGGAGGGAAAATTCTTCTGAAATTAGTACATGGGGGGTGCTGTCTATTAGAGACACAATAGTAGCAAAGTTTTGTTAGTTTTTGCTGGTCAAATGTGGCCTTTTTGGGAATGCCTAGTTTATATGTCATGACTTGAGAAAAGAAATTGTTTCGTATTTGACATCATGGTGTAACATTTCTCACTCTAATTATTCGCAGCTTTAATCACGCTATATGTTATTTCTTTCGTGCGAACACATTTCCTATTCCATTGCAAGTTTTAGCAGATAATAGAATAGTTTGTAAACATGTGATAAACACATCTACTTCTTTCTCTTTATTTACTAACACCCTGATATTTAGTGGTAAGTAGTACAAACAATAAAAGCTAAGCTATGCGGATTAAATGAGAACGTTGGTTTGAAAAACTGCGCGGGGGAAAAAAGCCCTCGCAAACTTATTTTGTCTGGGTTTTGCACGGGCGATGGCTATAGCCTGTGTCTCCGGGAAAGGCCTGATCATCCTTCCTCTAACCTTACTTTTGAACAACATCTAGATATAAATTTTCTGCTTACTTATTTGTCATTATCCAGCATTTATACTCTGAGGAGCGTTGGACAAAAATAACTTTTAGTATGCTATGGTTCCAATTTTCCATGCAATGTTCAAATATATTGATTTGTTTTCTTTCTAGTCAGGATTTCTATTTGACCATATATGTTGACACAAATGACTAAATGATTTTTTCTAGATTCAGCAATTCAAAATCTAATAAACAAAGTAAAAATAAAACAGTTACAGGCCTGGCCATAAGACTTTTAAAAGGGGAGCAGTAAACAGCTCTCCTAGTAGTATTCAGGTGAGCTATAAGAATAGAAACAAAGGAAAAATTGATTTCAAGGAGAGCAAATTTGCTTTTTAGAACAATTTAGGAGAGCAATCTGTAGCTCCCCTCCAGCGTTTGAGGAGAGCCTGGAGAGGAACAAGAGCTATGGCTCTCCTCAAATGGCCAGGCCTGAGTTACATACTACTGAAACTTACTTTGCACTGAAAACAACATTCGTAAGATCTTCTATCAACTCTGGGGGTACCCTAGTAGCAAAAAATCACTCATTATATAGATATGTACAAAAGAACAATAAATGCTAATGTAACGTTAACTGTTCAGTAAAATAGACATGCTGCTCTTCAGAGATAAATCGTTCAAAGAAATATAATGATTGGTGATTAAATTTTTGGGTGAATGAAATAAACATTTTAAGACCAAATGATTACTCAGAGAATAAAAGTCTCAACTAAAAATCTTTTTGCAAAATGTAAGATATCAGATTCTCATCAAACTATCCCTCCCAAATAAAGCTACTCTGAAGTCTAAATAAAGATCTCTCCCCAATTAATAATTTTCGAAAATAATCCAGTAATTCTAAAGGACTGCTAGCCTTTTACATCATTTTCTATTATTATGGAAGATTTCTGTTCAGCCCATTTATTACAGATTTTCTGTCTATTGGGATAGGAAACTTTTCACCCACCCTCTTATTCTAGACCTTCTCTATGCCATAGTGGAGAGCAACAATCAGTTAAGAATCATATATATTTTGAAAATTATAAATACCGAAATACATGCAAAGGTACTCACTTGAGATCAGATAACTCTTTTACAAAAACATCTTTCTTTAAGGAACCAGGCGGGAATCTAAAAGCTAATGTCAGAATTTGCAATATTCCTGCATATGCGGAAAGGAGAACTTCTTCATCAACATCTGTTGGCTTTATTGACTGCAGTGTATTTCCAGGAATTTCTTCTCCTTCTATATCTTTCAGGGCCACTAAAACAATGCATAATATTCTGCTCTGATAAAGCTCTTCTTGCTAAAAAAATTAACTATAACTTTCATATTACACAGAATAAAAAACTAAAGGCAAACATGGATTGGTTAAAAACAATACAATAGAAAGTGTTTGGGCTAAGGGCTCACAAAAGTGGAAAGACAGTTAGTTCTCAATTATAAACTTTATGGTTATCTCATACTCAATAAAAAATACAAAAAATATGCAGCCAGGAGAAAGGCCCCCTGATAATTTAGTAATAGGAGAATTTTTAAATGAATATAGCAAGAAAGTGCACTAATAACAGAATTGCAACTTTGTTTAGAAATAATTTAATATAATCTAGAATGTCAATTATTTGGAAAAACTTAGCTAGATTGATAGAAGTGTTAAACAAGACAAAGCCGCCCAACATCTTTGTTTATTGTAATTCTCCATTCCAGGATGATGTCATCGATTTTGCATCTTGCAGTCTATTTAACTTTCTCAAAAATGGACTCCAGAATTGAAATCTTCATCTCTAAATTAGTTTATATTAAGAAATTCATGTTGTTTGGACCGTTTGGTCGCGAGTTACTTTGTTTTGAATATTTAGATATTTCTTTAGATTTGACTGGAATTTGCTGCTGCAGTGAAAAATTTTTACTACAGCAACAAAATTCTTTAAAATTTATAGGAAAAGCTAAATCTTGAGAACGGGTTAATTCGCAGCCTGACGACCCAAACAACTTGAAATTTTTGTCACAGACTAATCTTAACATGAAGATTCCAATTCTATGATCTATTATTGCCAAAGGTGAAGATAAAAATTGCCCAGATTAGAGAATAACTTATTTTATTTATATTGGGTTTGTATTACTGCCTTGACTTAGACAGTCATTACAATCGAATAGAGACTTTGTTTCTGAATTTAGGAACTCAAAAATGAAAATAAACCGAGCTGAGTCGTTTGAATGATAACCATTCATTTGAACGGTAACGATAGTAAAGCAATTTTGATTCAAAGTTGTTTGCATTTAATAAGTAGCAGGGAGAAAGGGAAGTTGTGAAGTAGAATCATTTTTCAAGTGGCTAAAAACATGATGAGTCTTTTGAACAATAATTGACGTATATCTCTAGCAGCCATTGTTTGCACTTTATGATCAAGCCTTTATCACCTTAACTCATCTGATGGCCTAACCGCCTTGAGAAAGGTATTGATCTAGAATAGACGTACCTTGTATCAACTTTCTCATAGTTGATTTTTCTAATTTTGAGAAGTAACGGACAGTTTTTCGCACAGTTTCTGGAACTTTTGGACCAAAAAATGAAGCACTTTCTTCAAAAGTTTGGAGCAAGGATGTCCCTCGTTCACGCGCCATCTTGATTCTAGTTCCGCGATGAAACAACCTCTTTTTGAATAATTTTTGCATCAAGAAAACCAAAATTGAAAGAACCGTATCCTAAAATAAGCAAAAATATTTATTTGCAAAAATTAATTTTTGAGTGGGGGCTTATTTGAGGTGTTTTTAGTTTTTAATTCGAAAATTTGCTGACGTGGCGAAAACCATGCGAGATTTGCCCTGACGAACTTGGCAAATTTACAGGCCCATAGACACTGAGGGCAGGGGGGCAATGCCCCCTCTCAATAATTTGCGAAAACTGTGTTTGAAGATCTTATAAGCGCAGCTTGATCTGACAGTGTTTCGTAAGGCAGGTATAGAACTATATTTCTTTCCGTGCCCCCCAATCCAGTTTAGCAGTCTACGGGCTTGCAAAAATGAATAAGTTTTAAATGTCTCCCATTGTAAACTAAACAAGAAGAAGAAACGAGATACAACTGGAAGACTTAGAAATGTAGAAATGCATTACAAGCTTTATGCTCATAGAAATGTAGACATGAATTGATATATAAACATAGAAAGGAATGACTCGTTACCCTTGAAAGTTTCTTACTGAGAACATTTATTTACTGTCTTCAATAGACAAGACAGGGTTTTTTATAATTGCATTTAGAAATTTGTTCAAAGTTATATGTGTCGGAAATGCTGGGCCTGTCGCTAAAGATCTTGGCTTTTTGGTACTTGGAAACTATTAGGGGATGATGAATTATTGTAAATAAAAGCTTACATGTATTGCCCAGCATCGTCCTTTCGACAAACTTGATGTGGCAAATATTCTAGATGCATTTCTGGCCATCCCTGTAAGGTCATATTTCGAAACTTTTTCTTGAATTTTTCTAGGAGCTGAAATCAGAACCCTGGTACCATGGGAAGGGCCGGAATACAAAAAAATAACAACACGTTTTAATTCTATGGCCGGGGGAAACTTCATTTAAAATGAGAGGGTTAGATGCATATATTGTTCAGGGGTTATAGGAATATTAACAACATCGATAAAGAAGAACTTTCTTTTTTATATTCATGACCCATTTGTTGGATTTTGAATTCACACTTTTTTCTCTTGTTAACAAAACAGAGCAGATTCTATCAGCTAATGAACCGTGCTACTAAAAATATCATGCAGAAATTTTATTCAGTGAACTTAAAATATTCATGTTTGCAGATATAGAAAAAATTTTGAATTTTGAAAATTTTTGAATTAAAAACAATATTCAAAAAACCCAAGCCTGAAATTATCAAAAAAAGAACAACGAGCGTTGGAAAAAATTGTATTGCTCTTATGAAAAGAGTGTAGTGCATCAAATATTAAAAGCAGGCAAGTCAGAGTCAAATAACCTCATTTCTAGATGCAACATTAGAAACTTACTGTCTATACAAAACTGCAACTTAATGTACTCAAGTAAGACATCTTTCAAGAATTTTCTGTCTATACGTGTCAAACTTTGTGTGCGTTTTTACGCAAATAATGCTTGCAATGCGTTTGAATCTGTCAGTTGTTATTCTTTTCATCTTCTGGTTTTGTCGTCAATGGCTGACCTGTGGGAAAGCAACAATTCCTCACAGCTTCAACAAAGCTCTTGGATTCCTGTGAAAGCATCGAGGAGATGAAAGTGCCTTAATTTAGATCAGAAATGGAATCAGGGATGCTTATTGCCCATTTGGATCCTTTTGTCAAATTTTCCCGTCGTATTTGACGTGAGAAAAGAGACTTTAGAAGAGGGTGCGACATTTTTTAGTCATTCTATTTCTTCTTTCAAAAGACTCTGAGATTGAAGACAAGGTTTTTTAATTATCTTGTTCGCATACTGCATTTACTTTTGCGTTGGCGAGTTATAGAGGTAGAAATCAGAGTGGGGCGAGGCTCTAACTCACCACCTCAACAGAATTTGGAAAAAAATAGAAGAGAAAGAATATACCGAGAAAAAGGCAGGATTGTGAAAATACATTAATAACAAAAAATTTAGTCAGATAAATTTTCGGTAGATAAACTTCGTCGAAAATATTTTCGGACAGCTTTTCAGAATTCTGTCGTGACAAAATTTTGTCGTGGGTTTTTAAATCAAAGGTAGCAACTTTTTGCCAAAATCTTCAGGCAAAGCAATTACAGGTTGCTTTGGCTCACCCCAGGCAGCTTTTTCACACAGAACAGCATGTCAGAAAAACCAAATTAAAGCGGTCAAAAGAGATGCTTTTAGCATTCAAAGAGCTATTTTATAGAATTCTCAAAATTTCGTCGTGACCAAATTTCGTCTCGTTTTGAATTTCGTCGAAGAAAATTTCGTCAAAATATTTGTCCGAAATTTTGTCACGAGGAAACTTTTTGTAGTCAGGGGCGGATCCAGAGCAAACTTGAACAGGGGCAGTTGGTGGTGGGGGCGCTGAAAAATTTTAAAAATTGATGACAAGACGCTGTATACAACATTTTAGATCCATTTCAGAATAAACAACATAACTTTGAGGTAATCCTTGAAGCAAATTAACCTATCGGTCTCAGAAACTTTTTCAGCTGATTCTTCATTCTTCAAAAGAGGCGCACAATTTCCAAACAAGGGGTGCTAGACTTGCTTATACTCGTCAAGGGAGGGGCAACTGCCCCTAGTTGCCCCCCTCAAATCCGGCACTGTTTGTAGTTAATGTATCCAGGACGAAGCAAATAAATTCATTTTAGGCGTCTGTATTGAATTTGGCTATATGCCATAAATTTAGAATCTAGGTATTGTGTGAACTTGACATGTGTGAACATCTGATCCAGTCTTTCCCCTATTTCTTCTTTAATTAGTTGTTCCCTTGATAAAAAGGACTGAGGATACAGTTTAAAAATACTTGAGCGAGGCGACATTTTATCTCCCTGCCATCGAAAAATTCCTGTGGAATGGGACAGGAGGGGCTTCAGCCTCCTTAAACAAGAAATTTACAATAAAATTATGGAATATCTCGCTACAACAAATTTCCCCATTAAATTCGTCTCAAGAATATTGAACTCCTACCTTCTTGGTTTCAAGGCAAAATATGCATTTGATATAAATCTTTAAATCATAGGAAACGTTGATAATAGAATATAGGAAACTTTCAATCAAAACATCAAGGAATTGAAAAATGTCTTTGGTTCAGACCCTTTTTTGCTGTAGCCCCCTCTTGTCAACTGTGCATGTGCTTAGCGAAGTACATAACGAGTACATCCATTGTGGGCGTTTCACGCCTTGTGGACAGAAGAATGTTGACAATTCAAATTAAAAGTATGATTGGCTTATCCATGACAAAGATAACAATAGCAGTTGTTAACCATCACAATTTCTTGGGTATGTCAGCGGAGCACGCCCAAATTCTCCACTTCCGTGAGCACGTAAACAGTCAAGTCAGGCAAGGCTTCAGGGGATCGATTTTGAGAAAAACGAAATGGATGACATTGATGGTAAGTCCGTAATTTTGTAAACAACCTCTAACCATGACATGTCCTTTAAAAATATTATGTCATTAATTCCCAGGTAAAGTTGTGTTTCTTGCCATGATCATGGGGAGTTATATCCGGCCTTCCCGTGAGCAAGCAAATGGTTAGAGAGTCGAACAAAATTAGTGACCCACGAAAAAAATCCTTGCATGTTATCTTTTAATGTCTTTGTTGATTAATTGTACAGAATCGTTAATAAATGTAATGATCATGTTAATTATTTTAATCTAAACAGAGTTGGCTAAATCCTCTTTGTGTTAGGCCCTTTCTGAACATGGCATGATCTCTTCATTGTCCATTGTTAAAATTCTGTACACACTTCAGGATTTGTTTGAATTTCTCATAAACCATCTTATGAATATTTTTCAACAAAGGACGATATTATTGTTCTCGTGTTATACACCTGCTTTAGAGAGTTTGTTTTTGCTGCAAGGAAACGGATTATTCCTTGTCCGACTTTATGATTTCTGTCAAAGCAATCTCCCGTCGTGAGACCCAGACACCTATTTCCTTCCAGATTTGTTTTCGGTTTACAAAACAGGGTTTAAAAACCAACTTTTCTACAGGCTTATTCCTTCTTGACCAACGAGAGTTTCGGTATTTATAGGGGGGAGGAGGAGGCAGTGGCCCGGAAGGGGGAGGAGGAGGCAGTGGCCCGGAAGACTATCCATTCCAGGTTTCGGGTTGACGTCATCGACCTCAGAATTAAAATATTGAAAGTTTCTTGTTGTTTGGTCAGCCAAGTCGCGAGTTAATACGTTTTCACGCAAACTGATTTCCGAAAGATTCCGATTCTATGAGCAATTTTTGGCAAATATGTAGATAAAAGAATCGACAACGTCAACTCGAATGAAAGAATTTTCGCGATTTTATGGACAGCCCCCTTCAATGACCACCTTCCCCGAAGGAAATGATATCATACCAGCATTCTACACCCCTTTATTTGTTCTGAGGACCATATTGTTCTTGTTCCCTTTGGAAAATGGTGAACAGTAACTCTTTTGTCCTCTTTGGTTTACCTTGCCTACCCCCAACCCCATGCATATCTGGGGGCTAGGTGCAACGAGATCTGACTCGACTCGAACCAACTCGTCAAATCTAGCTCCAAGATCAGATTTTTTTGGCATAGAAATAACGGTATGAAATCCGCCATCGTGATCCTCTCTCTAAAATTGGGTCGGTTGGCTGGCTTCAGAACTTTCTTTTTCATCCTTTCTTTTTCACGTAACACGAGAGTCGTTCTCAGCCATCACAAGGAATATTGCTTAATGTCGGATGAAAGCCATTTAGCAGGCCAGTCTCAAAATGAAAAGCATTTAGCAAATCAACAAGGGTCTGCACGAAACATCGACAAAGAACGAGTTGTGGTTAGTTTGGCATTCAAAACCTGTCTGCAGTTGCATCCTGTAGAAGAAACCCAGAGCCTAACTACGATCAAACGAACGTCAAAACCTAATGAATCGTAGAGCAGTCTTATTCTGTTAGCAGTGGTCTCCACATAGTTTTCTTAGGTCTTTGTTTGTACCGAAAAAGTAACACTACGGGTGGTATATCATTTTATGGTTTTCTTCCTCAATCGTAAATTCCTGTTAGCAATCCAACCCTGATTATCTCCTTTGAATTTCACACAAGAGCTTCTTATGATTTTTTAGCTTATTTGTAACGATCTGCTCATTCTAGATTCATTCCCACAGTTATGGATGACATAATCTTTATGCAAACATTAAGATTATAATGTATGTTAGTAACATAGCCACAGGAAGGGGTTTGTTTGGTTGTGGAAAATTTTCCCCTTTCACTGCTGCCCGACTTCTTCAGTATCTTTTCTCATTGTGTTCCTAATTTTCTGAATAGCTCTCGCGAAATTTCTCTGGGTAAAAAGATTTGCCTGGGCTTCGGCATCCCGCCCTCAAACTCCTTTTCCTAAACCTTCCCTCGCATTTACAATTGGCCGCGCAGCAGCGGACCGATACCCTGGGGACCCAGGATACGGCACCGAAGACGTATTTCCTTACCTTTGTGTCTTTGATGTATATGTTTTCAATATTTTCAGATCAACGCGATGCATTCAACTTGTTTGATAAACGAGGTGATGGCAAGATCGACAGCAGCCAGTTGGGTGATATCTTACGGGCATTAGGCCTTACGGGCATTAGGTTGTGGAAAATTTTCCCCTTTCACTGCTGCCCGACTTCTTCAGTATCTTTTCTCATTGTGTTCCTAATTTTCTGAATAGCTCTCGCGAAATTTCTCTGGGTAAAAAGATTTGCCTGGGCTTCGGCATCCCGCCCTCAAACTCCTTTTCCTAAACCTTCCCTCGCATTTACAATTGGCCGCGCAGCAGCGGACCGATACCCTGGGGACCCAGGATACGGCACCGAAGACGTATTTCCTTACCTTTGTGTCTTTGATGTATATGTTTTCAATATTTTCAGATCAACGCGATGCATTCAACTTGTTTGATAAACGAGGTGATGGCAAGATCGACAGCAGCCAGTTGGGTGATATCTTACGGGCATTAGGCCTTACGGGCATTAGGTTGTGGAAAATTTTCCCCTTTCACTGCTGCCCGACTTCTTCAGTATCTTTTCTCATTGTGTTCCTAATTTTCTGAATAGCTCTCGCGAAATTTCTCTGGGTAAAAAGATTTGCCTGGGCTTCGGCATCCCGCCCTCAAACTCCTTTTCCTAAACCTTCCCTCGCATTTACAATTGGCCGCGCAGCAGCGGACCGATACCCTGGGGACCCAGGATACGGCACCGAAGACGTATTTCCTTACCTTTGTGTCTTTGATGTATATGTTTTCAATATTTTCAGATCAACGCGATGCATTCAACTTGTTTGATAAACGAGGTGATGGCAAGATCGACAGCAGCCAGTTGGGTGATATCTTACGGGCATTAGGCCTAAATCCAACCCAAGCGGACGTCGCAAAGATACGGAAAGATATTGATCCTACAGGTAACAAAAGTTCTATTTGCAAAAAAACTAGGGACTGGTGCGTCACAGATGTCTCTGGCTAGGGTCATCTGGCTTTTAAGTTCCCCGCAGTATTATGGAAAACACTTCTTATTATTTTCCTATTTATATTATATATTGAACAAAGAAATTATGACGTCAGTGAAAACTCTGCGACTCTGCGGATGTGCAGAGTTTGAAGACTCTGCGGATGTGCAGTTGTTCCCACCTTCACATTCGAAGGATGCATTGGTAATATTCTTAAATAAGATTGCAAATCCATCAATCGTTTGCAATTCTGTTTTAGGAGAAAAGAGAATAAGCTTTGAAGAATTCCTACCAATCTACCACACGCAAGAATCGAAACGCCGTGTAGGGGAATTCGAAAGTTTCGTTGAAGGGTTCAAAGTGTTCGATCGGGATGGCAGTGGGATGATCAGTTCTGCTGAAATTCGACACATGCTTTCGAGTTTAGGTGAGAAGTGTCTATGTTTACAACAATACTTGCCCATTAATGCAAGTCTATCGAAAGGTGTTTTAGAATTCCTACTACAGCATTTATGCTTCTATTTCACTCAACAGGACCCCTCGCCACTGATCCTAAACTGGAAGGGCCAGCAGTGTAAAGAGAATGCCTCTTACCTTCCCTAATTGTGACAAAAGTTTTGCTGACGCTGTTTTACTTCTGGACTTTGGTTCAATCTATTTTTTATTATCTACAAATGCATCTATCTTAAATAATTTGAGCTAATTTTAATCTCTTATTTCACAAAAAATTTTGGAGGCCATGTCCTTGTGGTGTGGACCCTGTTAAACTTGACGAAAGTCTCTTTGCCAGGAAGTTGATTGGCCTGAATTTGGAACTCAAGGGGTAATTTCGGACGGAATATTCCTAGAATTTTGAGACACATAATTGTACATTCAAATTTTTTGGCAGAAAAAAGTTTCTGCCATCTTTGATTCTGTAGGTATTGGTAACATAAGTAGTTGTGTTGATACACAATACCTGTCTGTCTTCGTGTTGTATCTGCCTTCGTTGCAAAATTCATTGATAATCGTTGCTTTTAATGCCACAGGTGAAAGGCTCACCGATGATGAGATAGACATTCTGCTTCAAGGAATGGAGGACAATTTTGGAAAAGTAAATTATGAAGGTATTCAGTGAAGCTTTATAAGTCCACAGATCTAACCTGCACATTTCATGCCCTTTTGGGGTGGTGGGGGCAAAGGCGGCAGATTCATATAAGTAACTTTCATGTAAGCACAAGAGTGCCTTTTATGCTTATCTTCGATATTTGCATTGCTTACCTATGTTCTGGATAAGCGCTGAATAACTGCAACTACCTTTTTTTCATGCCATGGCCATTACAAACCTGCCCCCAATGCAAAAAAGACCTATACTTGGAGTACTCAGGTTTATCTTCAGCACCCGAAAAGTATTTGATGACAAAACATTGGGTCAAGCACCCCAGAATTTTTTAAACCCAATATGAATGTTTTATCTCCGAAATATATTGCTGAAACTTTATACCAAAAAATTTTCCCCAAAACCGTTAAATTTATTCTTTATATTGCCATCTTTGTACGTATCTTCAATGCCACTGCTATTGTGGCTTAGAAAGTGAAGACTAGTGTTGGAAATACAGAAGTTCAAATTAAAAGCCTTTAGATAAACAAATGGATTCAGATCTTTTGATTCTTGTACTTGCATCAGAATATTTTTCACTATTAGGTATTAAGAAAAAATTTTTGTTTTCAGAATTCATCCGTAAAGTTATTGGTGGATAACGGATCGTTTTTGTTTACCAATGAAGGAACTGTTTATATTTATATTTACCAATGTTGACCTACATTTTAATGACATTAAATAAAATACGCATTTGTAATCAAGCAGTGAAGTTGATGCATATTTTTGTATTTTAACGAATTTCAGTAATAAAACCAACATACTTAAAACATACAATTTTTTTTCTCTGATATACCATGTCTGCAAGAAAGAAAAACGCAATACTTTGGAGAAGTAAGACTAAAGTAGTGAATGCCACTCGCTCTTCACATCAAGTAGGGATTCAATCTGATGCTACCTTCTTTTTACGTAGAGAGAACATACAGCCTTCTTTAATGATAATCTTTCGATAATCAAAGAAATTGATAAAAGCATCATTCGTCTTGAAAAACTGCATGCCATTTCTGTTTTTTCTTGTTAACTTTACTTCAATTTATAAAGTTGGGTGAAATAAGGAAATCTAACAGCAAAAATAGCAAAAACGCTTCCTATAACTTTTTAATGATCACTTAATTCCAGAACATATTGCAAAGTATCTAAATACGAAAGATGACAGAATGAAGATAAGATAGTTGAATTGTCTCTATAGCTTATCTCCTTGTCATCTTGGCGAACTTTGATTGGTTATTCTAGCCATTCATTATCTTTCTGACAAAATCTGTGAAAGAAAATAGACAGTAAGTTACTTTTTAAGTATTGCTTGATGAAGATACAGTAACGCCTGTCTGAAAAGTTAAGCAACTCGACTTGGCATAGTTTGATCTCAATGATAATGTTGCGTGGCCATTATGTTTACATTGTACATCAAATAATGTTATATATTATCTCGTGGTTATGCAAATGTCTGAGCATCTGCTCGAATTGAAGCTTTGTCGGGAAAAACAGTCAACTGTCAGGTTACACTACACTCTTCTATTCATAAGAAAGTCGTTACCGGCGCTGCCGAGTAGCTAAGAAACTTTCAGTACTGACTGATGAATCTAAGGAAGACTACATTTTTAAATCTATAGTAATTCATGCCCTGTGCTATTCATAAAGATGAATATTTGAAGATGGCAGCAAATAGCGGAAGGATAACATACTGAAGTTATTCCCGACACTCGTCACAGTACAAAACTTCGGATAATAACCATAGGCAAGCAGAAAATGTACGTTCAGGTGTGGATCGGAAGCAGCGTGAAAGGAAGAAAGACGTGTTTTTCGATCCACACCCATTGTTGTCTCTTCAGGAGCCATTTCTTAAATTCTACACTTATGTTAAATCTTAACTGGAAAGCAATTTGAAAATCTGGTACCTTCATATAAAACCTTTCCGCTGGCATCTTCGAATCCCTGAAGCAACACATCAACCTCATCCAATGTTAATTTTTCACCTGAAAGCCAAATAAGTATTATCAAACGAAAGATCTTTATACTATTCAAACTTTGCTGCGAGTTTCAAAAATCATAGCAAAGGTAGATGTTGTTAACATTATGAAGTTGTTGCCCCCTTACTTTCGAGTAAAAGTGTTACGCTCTTCATGGACGTAGCGGATGCTAGACACTCAGAAACGGGGGGTCCTTAGTTTGGATCTAACTCGAAGGATACTGCTCTTCTGAGATAAACTGTGCGCTGTGTTTTGCCTGATTAGGAGGGCTGCAACCCTCACAGCCCCTTTTTCTCCTACGTCAATGACGCTCTTTGTCTTGATTTTCACCTCAAATGCTCTATTTCCCCGGCAATATCCAAAAAGACATTATTCTTATGCTCGAAAGATTGAACGTTTTCAAAGGAAGCCATTTTTAGAAATGTTTAAATGAAGCATCTCAACATGACGTCTAAAGTGTAACAGCTGCAACAACTACAAATATCTTTAAAAACGTTTTGAAACTTGATTTTCTGCAAAGTGCAGAGTATTGCGGCCTGGGAGAAATGTACAAAAATTTCATCTTTTAGGTCTTTGTAATCCAGTCAATTAAAAAGAGGCAATTAAATCTCTATGGAATCAAATCGATCTCATTGAAAAGTTCCGTGGCACATCAGCATGGAAGGAATTGCACGAGCACACGCGGTGATTAAGTAAAAACAATAAATATGCACTTAAAAACAATTGGAAAACTTTCTTGCGCACTCGAGATCTCAGTGAAAAGGTCAACGGGATGGTAAAAAATTTAAAACGCCTGTCTTTGGGTGTCTTGCGCTGAAGAAGCTAATCTGCAGTAACGCGCTAACGAAGAAGGACATCTTTTGCTCTCAAATGAACCCTACATCTAGGGATGGATATTCTTAATAAATAGGAATATGCTAATAAGCATGGATAAGAATGAAGTTCTTAATTCGGATTGCTTTCGACGATTTGAGACGATGTCGTAGGTAAGTTTCTTCATAGAGCATTGTTGTAAGCTTCATAGCGGCAGCACGCCGTTTTGCTATGATGAAAAAGTTACATGCCAAGTATCTGCCGAACTTGAAACTTGTCAAATTTAGCATTTCGATTTTATATTCTCATGTACCGTTGTTCCCGAATGAAATTAAGGCTAGGCTTTTGTGAACATGCTATTTGCTTGATATATCGGTATGCAGCAACTCTGTTTACACATTGACAGGCCTGAAGAAATGAAGGGGATGTTCGTGCCCCCCCCCCAATTACTTAGTGTAATAGAATTTGTAGCACATGTCCATTGTTGTAGTCACGTTCATGTGTCTATGTGTCTATATCCAGTGGCTTCGCCAAGAAGTGGTATGGAGGGGGGGGGGGGGTAGCCCCTCCCACTCTGTCCAAAAATGGTCCACATAATTCTTCAAAATATAGATAGAAATGCATTCGTTGGTCATATCTTTAAGGATTTGCGTAAGGAAGGCAGGGGCGGATACAGAATAAAAGTTGACGGTCGCACATTAACACTGCCCAGCAGGCGGTCTAGGGCGCCTCCCTTCATGGTCAAGGGTGGAGCCATGATGGGGGCCCAGCCCCCCCAGAACCAGAACAATTAGTACTGGGGCCCTGAAACGTTCAAATTGTTCAGTCAAAAATGTTTCCATTTTAAAAGGTTTTCCAAATTTTCCAGCAAATCCAAACACGCAGTTGAGACAAAATATCTTGAGATTCAGAAGTGTACACTTCCTGTGCACCTCTTCCGCATGAATAAAGAAAATTGGGATTCTTCTCCTTCACAACTTTGAACCTCGTCCACTTTCTTCCCTTGCCAGCAGTTGTGCGGCACAGTAATCTAACAAATATGTGAAAACTTGAATTTTCCCTGCATATTTGTGCGGCACGGGCGACATGCTTAAAAATCATACTGTTTACGGTCTAGGATGGTCTTTGAATTTCTTCTATATTGAATTAAATCGTAGCATTGTGTGTGAGATCGACTAAGTTCGGTCCTGTGTTAATTGTGTAAAGAGAGCAAAATGTATTATCTGTAAGGAGGAAAATAAAAGATTGTGGTAAACATGATTGCCTTATTTCAATGACTGAAGACTGAAACTAAATTCTGAAAATCTGACGGTCTTCTGTGCGACCTGTGCGACACCCTGAATCCGCCCCTGAAGGAAGGTACAACTGGTATAAATCAGATATAAGATGAAAAGGGCGTGAACTCAAGGCCTACGTCATAATACAATAACCCCTAGTGATAAACCTATAGTTACAGCACTGCATATGGACGATTCATTTCTCTGAATAAATAATACACACATTAACAGTCCATTTTGATACTCTTTGAGATTTCAAATTCATGTAAAAAGAATTTTAGCTTCCTGCAAAACCTACCTAACATTGTCAATAGATGTCGAATTTCTCCTCCGCTTATAAGTCCGTTGCTGTCAAGGTCAAAAATGCGAAAAGCCTCAATAAATGCTTCTATCGATGAGCTTTGTTGCTTGTCCGTTTGCTCGTGATAAATTGGAAGAAATTCTTCAAATGACAGGCGCTTTTCATTTTCACCTACAAAATGAAAGATTGTGCTTTGAAAAACAGAATGAAGACGTGTAGAAATAATTTAAAGCATAAAACATTTTAAGTTGTAGACTCGATAGACAAGCCTAATCTCGGCGAAAGCCAGCGACCAGCAAATAGAGAGTTTCTGCACGTGATTTTTTCGCAGCTACACATTGGTCGCCGCGTTTCGCTCAGTAATTCAACTTCGTTGGACTTAAGCGATTGCCTGCGAATATTCACGTCTTTTTGTGCACATTGCAAGGTGATGAGATTTGAATTTCAGCAGTTGTTCGCTCTGGCATTTCAAGGTCAATTTGTGGACATAAAATTAAAATCCAAATTCAACAATAGTTACATACAAATATAGGATTATATCAAGATATAACAAAAATCTATAATTTACTTTATAAAATATATCATATTTTAAACAGCATGGAGCAAACGTCAAAATATGGAAATGACTGATCTCCTATTTTGAACGATATGCGAAAATATAGAAAGAATAGCTGATGATCGCATCTCTAAAACAAGTTAATGAAACTCGCCTTTTTCCTTACATTCACAAAATACCTTGCGAGCCCAAAATCGATGCTTTCTGGGTTTTTGAACTTTTATTTATTCCTTTCTCTGCTCTGCTTTAAGGCAAAATGAAAGGCAATAAGCTGTCTTTCCGCCATGTTTGTTGGTGATTATTTTTCTTGCGTTTTACTAGCAATCAGGTGAAAAGGAATGGAGATTCAAATTCTTGCTGGTCGCTGGTGGACGCGCGAAGCAATCGCTGAGATTCGCTTTTAAGGAGATAACGTAGTTTCATCTATGAATTGTTCCGTTAAAAGATGGACTGATATGCAGATTAATTGAAATGCATGTGCCTTGAAATGCAGAATAGTGACACTCTAGGATCAGCATAACGGAATATGAATACACAACAAGTAATCATAGACATGGTCGATATCCAGTAAAAATATATAGGAATTACTTACCCTTAGGATCAATTTCATTCAAAAGCTTCGTGATCTCAGATTGACGAGGATTCAACCCGAGCGCCCTCAAAACTTCGCCAATTTGGTCACACCCTATCATTCCATCTCCTTTTTTATCAAATAGTGAAAAGGCATCCTGATATTCTGTGAATTGAAGTTGAAAATGAAACAACTAGATTGTATGAAAAAGTTTATTTCTGATTAGAAGTGTTTGCTGTAGAGGAAACTGATTCTAAATAAACACCTTGGACAAACAAGCCTGGTCTCCATGTAACTTTTATGCATCGGCAGTACGTCGTCGTTGCATCGCCGATGATTCTCTTCAGCCTGCTTTCCATATAACTTATATGCGTCGGCAATACGTCGGCAATACGATGATTCTCTTCAGCCTGCTTTCCATATAGTTCTTACGTGACGCATCGGCCACACTTTCAACACAATATTATCGATGTTGCTAACGTATTCCTTGCAAAGATTACAAGTACAATTAAACGATGTGGATTCTGAGATTGTTTTCTTGAATATTTGTAAAGTAGGGGATTCAAGCATCATCAGGCATTATTCAAACTGTCGATTTTTTTGGTTCCTATGCAGTTTTTTCCACTCTGCCATTCTTTATGAAAATTATTTGCCATCGATTTTTCTCATTTAGTGCAGAAACGAAAATCTCTGCCTCTAGTTGGGGCTTCTCTCTCTATATATATAACATGAAATACCTATGATTGCTATTTCGAGTTGCACATTTGGTTGCTATTTCAAAAAAATGTGTGGATCCCTTCTCATAAGGCAAAAATCAACAAGCTGTGAAAATACAAACATCATGTGTAAATTAAACTAGTATCATGGCCTAAGCATTTTTCATTTCAACGATTTCTTTACACCCATATATAAGCCTTTCTATCTGCTAGATATTTCTCATGAGTAGAATGAAAAGTACCATTCTGCATCTTTGAGAAGCAGCCTCTCTCTATGGAATCTTCTTTCAATGAATGCCAAATCAAACTCGATGATAATTCGTGATGTTCATTACAGGCAATATGATAAACCGATAAACCTGGATTCAAGCGACAAATATATTGGCGAATGCAAAAAATAGATATCATTAAAATTTGCGTTATTTATCGCAACCTTGATTCTGTCAAACATCAATTAATTTGGCTGGCCTTCATTTAGTTGAATGATATTGTATTATCTCAATATACAAGCTTTTGTAATCTCAGCACTTTTTTTGCTATCGCTCTCCCACTGTAAGTACAAACGTTTGTATAGTTTGTGATTGCTAACGAAGACAGTACCTTTCATCAATTTTTATAGGTTGAATTGTACCTATGACTTCGAGTAGTAATGTAAGCGAAGAGCTAGCCAAAGAGGGCCTGTGACTTTTAGTGGGGTAAAAAATTGACTAAATTATAAACAAACAAAGCCGATGTCAGCGTCGCCCCCCCCCCCCTATAAGGCTGTTTGTCGGAAAATTTCAGGACTATCCACAAATCACATCCCAACCACTGGCTGATGATAGTCTTTTTATCTTGCCATATTTTATTACTAGCAATTTTGCTTTTAATCGATTATTTTATGTTGCATTGGCTGAAAAAATCCAAGTTTGTCCTTACAGAATGTTTAGAGTCCCTTTTGCGAGAAACTTCGGGATTTTTCCGATCGATCATCAAATCCTTTTGCAGTGGGAAGCATAAAGCAAATAGCAAAAATTGATAATTAGATAAGTATGCGTATTATTCTACCATTGAATATATATGTCGTCGGAAATAAAACGATGTCCGCCCCCCTGTTTATCACTGCTGGTGTCAGCCTTGTAAACAAATGTCTAAAGATTAGTTGCAAACGACCCCCTGTCTCTTGAAAACCCGGACTTTCAGCTTTTTACCCTGGGTACCAGACTCTTTTGAGCAAGGATATTCTTTGCCATCGCGACTGTCTACAATATTTAATCCCCGGACTTTTCAGGCTCTGGTGCCCAGGGTAACAAGTTTTCAAAGGACACAAAAATTTGTGGAGCTCGGGAAGATAGATCAAATACATTTTTTCGTCATTGAAAGATAGTTGATTGCAATTTGTACAAAAAGATGTTTTACTACAATATATTTTCATGGGTGCTGTCCCCATCTTTTAGAACAAAAGGGGGTGACTGTGCAAATTTTCTCTTATGTTGTTTCATAGATTGAAAATGTTTCAAGGGTAGTTTCAAAAGGTCTCACCTGACATTTGTTCTTCTGTGTAGTGCACCTGTGAAAAAAAATAGGTCAACGTTTGGTGGTAGATTAAATAGCCGACTTAAAGTTAGCTTTTTATTGACGTAAGAAACAAACAAAATATATAACCAGGTTCATGACAACCCTCAAAGTGGTTTACTTTGGATTTAGATTCAAGTTATCCTTGCTGAAAGTTGTCAGCACACAAGGCATATGGCTTGTTAAAGTAATGCACATTTGGTTCATATTCTGACATCGCATCAGAGTCTTGTTTGGGAATGATCTTATTTGTTAATTCTTTTAGGGACGTTGTGGCTCTAAAAAAAGGGCGGGGAGAAAATAATTGCAAGGGGGGAATTTTAAAAGGGCATCTGCCATATTTGATAAAGACGATTTTTTCCACCCCACTTTTTCTAGAAATGCAAAAAAAATTACCAATGAAATACCAGTCAAGCCACATTTTATTGGTTTTAGCCTCCCCCCCACTATTTCTAGACCCCTACTTTTCTCAACGCCCCGCGGTGCCTGTTAAAATGGTATCTGCCATATTTGATAAGGGTGTAAATCCCTTTTCTCAAAATTACCGAATCAACTAAACAATTAGCTTTAGGTAAAACCTCTCAGCTATGTTCGTTTCCATATCAGCAACATTCCTACTATTTTGGGCAGTAATATATTTGATACAGTTGCTGTCTTTCTCAAAAAGCAATGTTAATCTCATTTGAAGAAAGAAAAAGAAGAACAAACACACAGCTCACAAATTAATTCCGGGACTGCCCTAATGCGTTGATTTAGAAACTCAACTTAAAGGGAGTGAGAAATGAAAGTTTGCTTATCTTTCGCAATGCTAATCGCTAAAAAAAATACGATTCACTTTTATTCTAGCGTTGCTCTTATTTTTAAAGGGGTGCAAAATTGATCATTTAAGGTAAAAATAAAGCCCCCATCCCTTCCCCGTACATCGGTTTAATGGGACCTGTTTTCAATAGGTGCATAACTGTTGCGCAAAACAATGTCAGCTAAACGAGCATTTTAGGCCGTACACTACACACCCGTCTTGTATAAGATACTATGCCTATAAAGTATGTACGTAACGTATGCATGGACATAAAGTATGTATTTCCGTGGTAAACAGATGATTTCTTAAACAAAACAAAATATGTTCTAGCAAAGGTGAAAAACAGATATCAGATCAATTCAGTGGACATTATAACTGCAAATGTTAACGTTGGTCTTTTTATAAACATCTTGCTAACTGGTTTTTCATCTTACATTTTCATCTTACAGTTCCCATGTCAATTATTATTTAGCAATATCTAGATAAAAATGTTCTTACCATTTTGCTACTTCCTTAGAGATTCTTCGAGGGATTTTCGGTAATAATCGTTCAAGCTTCCAGTAACAAATTGTGACGATGTTTTTCTTAGCAATACTAATCGATATCGCTTTGCCATATGCCTAGCCCATAAATGGGAAGATTCGTGGGCGCTACCAAGTCAGCATGCTGTTATCTCCAATGTCCTGCATTGCAAGATCAGGCGATATTTTGTTGTCTCGAGCTTCAAGGACTTGGGATTACGCGACACCGGGGCTTGTAGCGCGTTTTATTTTCTTTCTTTCCGAGAAACAGCGGTATATTCCCGCTAATGTTACGAATAAACAAAGGAAATGAGCTCAGTTGAGATATTCTATAGCTAGGGGTTCCATGGTCTTATCCAGGATTGTGCTGTAGTGCGGAGGACATGAACAATCCGGAGAGGTACAATGTTTTGCTTAATGTCATATTTCTAGGAGAGCGACATGTGATTCGTTGATGCAGTCAAAAAACTCCTCGACGTGTATGACACGAGATTAATCGGATTATCCGAACCGGGTTTTTCACCTTCGCCCTGGGCCCTTGCTTGCCTCTAAAATATAACTTTTTGTAATATTGCAAATAACTTGCTATAGGTAGCAAGCTAACGACTATAAGCCGCCTAGAAATGGAAAACTCAAAGATCAAGACGATTGAACATTTCATACCATACTTACAGCGTTTTTGTAACCGAAGTATGTCTCAAGCTTAAAACGAGCCTGGCTAGAAGCCATCTTTGTTTTCCAAAAAAAGTGCTCGTCACATGACATTCCTAAACACACAACAATAATACATACGCCATTACAAGACACTTGGTACAATTATTTGCCAAAAGGGAATTGATTTTTGGAGGAAATTATTTTTCGCCGATAAATAATTTGATGGTTTAACTTCACTGATGATAGGTCTGGATGTTTTGCGATAATTTATACTTTAGCCAGAAGAACTTCAAATAAAAAAAACTTCAAGGGTATACAGTATTTGGCATCAGGGCCACGAGATATTTTGGAGGCCCTGGAGCAAAGCAAAAGACGAGCAAAGCAAAGCGAGTAAAAAATTGTTTGCAACCACACCCTTTAGAGTAGCTTAAGTTCATTCATTCGTTCAAAATGCTTTACTTTTTTAAGTATAATTTTTCAATTTTGATTAATTCCATTTTAAAACGGAATTCATTATTTTACGAAGCCCCTTAGACCTCAAGGCCCTAGGCATACCCCTCCTTTCCCTCCTTTCCCTCCTTGCCCTCCTTGCCCTCCTTGCCCTCCTTGCCCTCCTTGCCCTCCTTGCCATCCTTTCCCTCCTTGCCATCCTTGCCCTCCTTGCCCTCCTTGTCCCCCTCTAGGCAGCTCTGTTTGGCATACTTAGCCATATTTGCCATAAAATCTTTTAAAATTTTTTAAGAGCAAATAAAATTTTAAAATTGAAGTTATTGTTATGAGGAGCTCAAAAGAAGCTGCAATCCTTTTTTGCGGATTACCCTATAATTTCTTTATCGCAAAAAGGTGCTCGTGGATTCACTCAAAAACGTAAAATCGACAAAAATTTGTTTCTGCAAACCTAATTTCCGTATACTTTCAAGCCACTATTTGCTCTTACTTTGTTTTCATTAAATGCGCGTATGATAATCCATTTCATTGTAAATAAATTTTCTATGGAGAAATAGTTGGTCAAAAAAGTATAGTTGGCCCCTTTTTTCTGAACAAAAGCTAGGTTATCTAGGCATATCACTAATTGGGAACTTAAAGAAGAATCAATAAGATTGATCAGCTTTTGATCGTTAATAATCAACAAATATACTCCTATGCGAACACTGTAACATATACCGCGGAAGATACACTGCGATGACCTCAATTGACTGGGAAGAACTATGTATGCCGATGGAACTGTGATCTCACTCATTTAGAAAAATATTGAAAAGACTCTGACCTTGTTGTCAATGCAAAACTTCAATGCAAATGGTTAAAAGGAAATTAGCTTGGTAAATGGTCTAGCCTAAAAGCTGGAACAGTTGATAAGCTCCAAAATCATTCCTTGCTTTCAAGTGAAACAAGAAAATTTATGTTGAGGATAATGTTAAATAGCTTGAAGCTATTTTTGATGATAAATTTCAATAGGAAGGCAAGACAAAGTTCCACGAACTCATTATCTATTGAAAAATACCAAACAATTTCATTTGTTTAAAAAGATACTTTAATGAAAATTATTCTGAGTATCGTTGTGCCCCGGGACTGAGCCGCAGTTCAGCTGTTGTTGCTCTGCTTTTTTCGGGATTATTCGGCAGCACTTGTTATGAGTAGTACTTTACGATGACAAGAGAAAAAAGGCGGCTGCTTTAGTTAATCAATTTGAAAGATGGCTTCCCTTCTTTCCAGCATCTTTATGTTTTGCCCCATGTGTTTACATAGGTGATAGTTATATTTTATTTCATTTTCAAGTTCTGTAGGTATGGTTGTCAGTCAGTTAGACAAAAATTGATTAACAGGGGCCATGCATTATAAACTAGACTGAAGATATTGCAATGTGACACAACTAAATTTAATCAAAATAAATAGAATCAAGCGGGTTCATGTAATAAGAACAACTATCTATGCTAAGGAAGATTTCATCAACCCTTCCTAGAAATTCTTTAGTTTGGGTGCAACATCTACTTCTCGCTCAACATTTCCTGAGACTTGCACGTCTGAACTAAAAGCATCTTTGACCAGCTGATGTCCTTTACATTGGAATTGCAAGGCTTTTATTAGAATTCCACAGTACGCGAGAGGGAATAACCAGTGACTTCTTCCCTGATTACCATAGCTATGGTAGCCCTATTCTGTCTCCTGTATCGAAACTTCTGTAATACTTTGGTCAATCATATCTCTATTTCATTTCTGTTTAAATCTCAAAGTCGAGTTCGGGCACCATATATTTAATGGAAATTTTTAGATGCCAAGTTGAATTTTCCCAGCAACCGACAATATATCTGGGTGAGTTTAATCAACCCGGTTATAGAAGAGGTGCTATTTTAAGAAAACTCAAAAGATAATATATAGATATCTCATTCATCCATAGATCACTTATCTTTGATAACATTACAAACCTAGATCATATACACCTTTAAGACAAACTTTACTTTCTCGATTAAGTTACTACCACTCTGTCAACTTCTCCTATCTAATATAGGAAATAAGCTGCATTTTATCTTGAAGAGCGCAATATTTTCATCTAGTAAAACGCCTTATTGTTAGATTGAAAAGTCATATTAGAGTAAGAAGAAAGGTAGTTGATATCATTTGTCTCAAGTTTTTTAATTTTATGTTCATCAGCTTTCTCATCACGGTCATCTATATTCTTGTTCAAGTTCATCGAAATTGCTGAAACAGTGGAAAGTCGGCATCACTGCACTGATCTATAAAGCAGTCTTCACTGCATCGGTTGCTGTAACAAGAACAGTCAATCACTTCTGTCTGCCTGCCTGTGAGCTGTCTCTCTGACATCCTACATCTCTCTTCATAAGTGTGAACACTATGTTCGTCTGATTCTTCGAGGGTAGAATGCGATTCAGAACTTCTTTTTACGTCATTTGTTTCCATGCCCCTGATATACAATTGTTGTTGGTCAGCGTTACCATGTTGCTGCTCAAAAGAGATTCTTACAGGAAGACTGCCTTCTACCTGCAATTAATAAGATATGTTATATACCAAATACATCAGAAAACCTAAGAATACAAAAATTCTAACTCTGACATAAAAAAAATTCTTTAATACTGTACAAGGACAGCAGACGTTATGTATGATTTATGGACTTGACAAGAGCTTTCAATGTCAGAAAAATTGCATTTACTTGTAATGTAACTGGTTAAATTTAGCTAGAGTACTTTAAAATATAGAATTCTTCGTAACCAAACTACAAAATAGATCATTTTATGATATAAATGTGACAGCTTTTACTTAGTATAACAGGCATTATCATTCAAATGAGATATCCAAGCAAAACTCCATTCTTTTTTGACATACCTCTTCCTGACCATAATATCGATATTGATCTGTTTCACAGAGGTAACACTCTTCTTCCTCGTGATCTTCCAAATTATCATCAGTTTGGCATTCTGCATCACAGCAAGGTGGCATATTTTCAGAGGCCGAATTCTCTGCTAGGGAAACTTCATTTGGTTGTTCGTTTACAAGAATGCTTTGCACCAACGGGCTAATACTGCTATCAAGATACCATTGATGTTGTGGCTGCTCTTCTAATATAAGGTTCTCCAATGTCATTTCCTGTGAGTTCAGGTTTTCAACAGACCCATCAATTGCTTCATCGATCAACTCTTCATGTTCAATGTTTCCAGAGTCATATCGTGGTAATGAGTCGTAAGAAGCACTTCCTGCAGATACATCCTCCCTGTTGTCAATTTGTTGCCGAGGCAAATCATCTTCTTGAGATTCCTCTTCTGAATCACTTTCAATAGTTATTACCTCATTCGTTTCATCTTCAGGATCGCTGTCAATAGTTGCAACTTCGTCAGAATCATCTTCCGAATCGCTGTCAATAACTATAACTTCATCTATCAATGGTTGATCAAAAGCAGCAGCGATATTGCGTTGGAAATTGAAGAGCGAATTTCTCGTGAATGGATATGTTGAAGGATGATAGTGCAAGTTTAAGACTCCGCCCTGGCTAAGCTGCCCTGGCAGCAAGGAGTTTAGATATGGTACGATTGATTGAAAGTTCTTGAATCTGATGGCCATGCCTTGATGTGTTTGTATTAGAGCAAAACCTTTTCTTGCGTCCTCTTGGTCTGATTCGTATCCATCGTCGCTGTCTTCATCAAGGTCATTTTCATCGCCTATAAAATAAAGTTCCTCCATTATTCCATCAATATTTGTTTCATTCTTGTGCCAAAAAGATGCATTAAGGATGCAATGATTTTTTTTATTTTTAATCGTTTATTTTTGATTGATATGAAAATACTTTGATTATTAGAAGAGGCTAGAAAATCGAAAGAAATTGAAATCGGTTGACTGGCATTAAAGAAAACGATAAAATTTACTAGCTTAATTATTTTGGATAATGTTATGAGTTGGTGATCGAGAATATTTCATGCTAGGGACAAGAAAACAGGGTTTAAATTAATTGGATACGTATTTTAAAGATGATAGCGACTTACGTTCCCGCCTGTAAATACGGTCTTCACCGGCGTCATTTTCTTCATTCATATCCACCATTGGCTCAAAATCAGGTAAAGGCATTGTGTCATCATCTCTGAAGAACATCGGATCGTCGACTTCGAAGTCTGAATCGAATTCTGGGTAGTCAGATTCATCATCAGCAACATCTTCTGAGGCTCTAACCTGATCAGCAGCAGCCGAAGTGATGGCAGCTTCATGTTTAGGTGCTTCAAGCAAAGAGTTGCCTTCCTCTACAATTTCAGAATGCATGCTCTTCCCAGAATCATCTTCATCTTCACTGTCAGTATCATACCCTGAATGATCTTCTTCGTCCTCATAACTTCGACAGAATTTTCTCTGAGAGTAGATAATTTCTTTTCTTCGACACTTGGACTCACCAGCCTTGTTTTGTGAGGATTTCTTTCTTTTCAGGCCTCTTGATTGATTTAAGAACCGTTGCTCTCTGATGCCTCTCGGAAGTTTCATGCGTTTATAGTATGACAGACGAGCGTCTTCTGGCAAGCAATCTATCATATCGAGAAACTCTGAGTCGTCTGAATCCCAATAGATGTTTGATTGTGTCTTAGACAATGATTCTTCGACATTTTCAGGAGCAGTGTTGATATGCTCCCTTTGATCATTGAGTGGACTGTCAGAGAATTCTTCTTTTTCGGATCCACTTATTTTAACTGAATCAATGCTCCAATGTTGCCTGGAAAAAATGACATCTTTTACATTTAAAGTTAAAGATCAAAGCCTAAATCAATCATCAGTTCTCTTGTATTTTTATCATTTTCTACATAAAAATCAATCATACCTGGAGCCTCCTTGATCTCTGCTTTCCTCTCCCATTTGACAACGAATATAATTGTTTTCCATCGTGAGTTTTTAACTTTGAGTCTTTTCAAATATCGAGTAGCACTCTGATTAGCTTCGAACAGTAGTTGAAACTTGAGAAAAATCCGTTGATATTTTATCAAACGCCACTTTTAAAGATTTCGACCCAGTCCGTAATTGTTACGTCAAATTGTCGAATTATTCAATTGCTACGTCACCTAATTTAAATATGCTTCTTTAAAATATTGAATTGCCATCCTTAAAGATATTGGAGTAAGGAAAATTGGGGGAAGAATCCAGTCAGAGCGTTTTTAGTTCTTCAAGCTGTCTGAAAGTAATTGCGTTTTTTGCTCTTCAAAATGTTATACAGTCCCTTTTCTAACTAAAATATCAAACAAACAATATAATTTGATTGGAACTGTTAAGGTCAACGGCCGATCTTTCTTCTAAATCAACAGCTATAAATTATTGATTTTTCATTCTATAAAATTACTTCTAGTATTTTTGGGTGAAGACGATTGAGGGAAAATTGAGCTGGGGAAAATTATTTGCATCGTGTTTTTTGGATAGTATACCATTAAACTACAACATTTTTTGTAGTCAAATCATATTCTCACTTATTACAAAATTGTTTATCTAAATGTGCACCTTTGATTACTGGAAAACTTGGTTAACTGCAAGCGTTGGGCACTGTCAAGTTTATTAAAACACTTTCACAATTCTGCCTACTGGAAAAACTTTCTTATCATTCTAGTGACGGAGGTAAAGAAAATTGGGAAGTTTTGGCAAAAAGCGGAGAATAAAATTTGATGTCGAGTCTTCTGTCTAAGTGCTGTCATGGTAAGGCACTTATTTATATCCAAATAATTCTGGAAAAGAATATTAATTTGGATAAGCTATTCAAACATGCTGCTTGTTTTACTAGAAACTCTACCTCTTTCAAAATTTCATTTTTTAGGTTGAAAGGGTTTCGATGGTTCCAAATTCATATGCAAGCTTTTCTTTCGCCAGCTTGCTACAATTTAGCATTTACCTTGAATTTTGTTTTCATATTCTGATTTAATAAATTCAATCTTACAAGGTTTCTAAACCTCTCATTAATCTAAAATGTTGAATAATTTTGAAAAAAGTTTGTCAACTGTGATCTAAGTGTCCTGTAGAAAAAAGTGAAATCTGAGGCTATCCTCTCTTGTAAAAGCAAAGTTTAATTTGTTCATGCAAGGAAAATTTGTCTAAGCTTAAAAACTGAAAAACCTTTCAAATCATCATAACATCAGCTCATATTTACATTATGTTTGGCTGCAAGACTTTGCAGATAGTTATCCTTCAACTAAATCTTACTTATATCAAAACAATAAAATATCCTTGATGAAAAATATTTATTAACTTTAGCTAGCTCTTTATTTATCAGAAGGCTAAAAGTATAAGCTATAATGATTTTCCAAAGGATTTGAAATCATATTACATATTCTGATTAGATAGACTGGTGCAGTTCCTGAAAAGAGCACGACTTTAAATATCAGAAGTCTAATTATGCTAAAAATATTTTGCTTCGATTTAATGAAGGCCTGTCTAAATATTCTGTGAGCAAAAGAATGTCTAATTATGGCACGAAAATGTCAAAAAAGACATCATCTAAATCTTTGAAATGCACAGGAGCAACAAAGCTAACAATCTGCTGACGAACATGTGTAAACGTGTTAAAAGGCCTTTATGTGTAGTTTGAATACCTCTGTTATTTGAAAATACTTAAAAAGACAAAACCAACTAGTGTTTGACCAGGGAACGTAACCCCTCACAGTGTGTTTATAACAAAATTTTCTGGTCATGGGATCCAAATTTAAAAATTCTAAAAATAGTTTTTTGCGACGTCACTTGGCCTTATGAAGATTAAACTTAGATTTTTCTGTGAACGTGGCTGGTAAGTCATTGGGTGTTCCCTTAAAAAGACAGAAAACATTGGCGATGTACTGTTTGCTCGCCGGATAATCTGGTATCAAATTTTGTATTAATGAAGTATTAATAAGGCTACTTTCCGCATTGAAATATCGTGTTCTCAGAAGTAACATTTTAAAACAATCTGTTAAACGTCTTGACAATGTTAATCATTTCGAATTCTTTTTCGTGTCGCAAAGTTGTCAAAAAGTAATCGTACTAATATATAAATAACAATTTAACATTTTTCTAAATGCAGAATAACTAACAATTTTTCATATATAAAGCTCGTTGCTACCCACAATTCTTAGCACGCACGTCATGCCACCAAAGGGTATGGCATGGTTACGAACAGCGCCTATTTTTATGCATCTAACTTACACAGTAATAAATACACTTCTAGACAATCTTTGCCAGCAACAAAGGCGGCGATAACCTGTGCAATGTATTTTGCATTGCAAAATATAACTGCGCAAATTTTGTGATGGGTAACACAAAGTCTTCAAAGTTAGGCTAACGAATCATTGCTGGTAACAGAAAATTGAGCACTGTTTCATCACAATAGATTACAACATGAATGCATTGTTCATCGCAAATGCTGCAAACGATCTTGCTTGGCATCGATTGCTGAGCGTTCAAAAGCGAGTGGAGTTTGACGATGTCTACTCGGGCCTCAAATCTTTCGTCTCTTCTGATGACGTCAGGCCTCTCTTCGGCTGATGTCTCATTGGGTGTTTCTACGTCCATATGCTTAAAGATTGTTGTTATATTTACTAAATCAGTCTCGATTTCCAGCGTTAACTGTCCCGACCTATTAGCAGCAATCACCTGAACAACATATAGAATAATTGAAACTGTGAACAAAACAGATATCTAATAAAGGTTGGGATTGGCCTATTGGCAAACATTAATGTTAAAAAGTAAGCATCAGTTACGTGCATTAAATTGGTAGTGATTCTGTGAAAGGAATCATTGGTCACTTACAACAAATCCGCTAACGTTCTTCATTCGATCAATGACATTTTTCAAAGTCTTCATATTTGGCATGGTGACAGCTATCTGGAATCCAATTAACAGCGAGGCATTATGATGTAAAAGATATCAGAGCTAACATTACAGTTGTCTTGCTATTTTTAAGACGCTATGATAAAGCTTAAGGTGTTAGTTAAACAAAAGTGTTACACGGCCAGTAAAACAAAATTGTACATTCCGTTACTAAAATAGGACGGAGAAGATCAATCTCCTGCCATTGATCTGTCTTAGGTCATTAAGCAGGAGAGACTATCATATTCATAAATTCGCCACCAGGTTCTAAGACCTATATACATTTTTTCGACTATATTTTAGTCAGGTATACAAACATTTTAGAAAATAACGCAGGTTCGAGCATTGACTTCTGTCAGAGGAAAGCTATCGAAATTTTTACCTAAAGACTTAAGAACAGCTGTAAGATTTCTAGAGACGGAAATAGAAGATAGAGGATATAGAACCAAAAGCTGGGCTGTAAAAAACAACATCACAGGAGAAATGATGATGATTTATAAGGGAGGAAAGAAAAAATTATCTTGTTAAAAATAACATCTTAAAATATTTAAAGCATTTCTCTTGTCTTTTAAATCTGTGGTGCATAGGTTTGGCCCTGATTTTCAAATTAAGCGTAGAAATATTTCCCAATTATTTTTTAAGATTTTAAGCTGTTTGATAATCTAGTGGCTTGAGTTGTTCTCGTAGATTTTTCACGTGATTGTTGTTTTTGACATTCCTACGGTCTTTATTGATTGTTTCTTTATTGGTATAGTGGCTCTCTTTTTGGAAGAGGAGGTGATGCAACCTGAAGCAACTGAATTTGAACTGATGTGCAATGATGTGTTTCCTTATGATCAATTGTCATAGTTCCTGTTACACCTTGGAGAGTTTTCAGGTTGGTTCTTACTTACAATCCTATAAAAATGATAATTTGCTGACAAACAATGATAGAAAGGCACTTTTGTCGCACAAACTGTCATTACATTGACGAGTTCGATGTGGCTGTAAACTGTCGTAAAAAGAATGGTGGGCAAGGACAAAATAATTCAACTGTATTTTTCATTGGGGTGGGCCGGCCTAGATACTGAGGGGGCCTGCTCTAATAATGGTGAGGTCTGCCTGTGTGGTGGTAGGAGCGGTTTGCATGATGGTAGACCTGCTTAAATGCTGTTGGGGCCTGCTTTAATAATGATGAGGTCTGCTTATGAGGTCAAGTTACAAAGTGCATTTACTTGAAAATTTTGTAAGCATGGGTAGCACTTAAAGCGGGTGCTCTGCTCTGCTAGTGCTCATCATATTGGTTTTATGATGACAGGTTTAAAACTTTAAAACTTTAAAAGGGATTTGACTGTGGTTAGTCTCGGTTAATATAACCAAACAGAAGTTTCTTGTGAAATCCTAAAGCTTCAAATTCTATACTGTCATCAAGTCCACAGACCATAATACAAGCACAAAATTGTTTCTGAAGAAAAATTATGATGATTTGTTACAAATATGTGCTCAAAAGGCTATAACTTGGATTGGTGCGATAGCCAGGGCTGCAGTGAGAGTTGAGTTATTGGGAGTGCTAAAGCCAATATTTTCCTTAAGATTCTGAAAAAGTAGCAAGTTTTCAAAATTTTCTGACAAATTCGGTCTAGACCTAAAGCCCCCAAATCACTGCACCTCTGGTGATTGCAAATACATTTGGTGTTGCTTTATCTTTTTTTAATTTTTTTTAGTTTTACCATTAAAGAACTGGTAAATGGATAAAATGCAAGAAAATAATTCACAAATTTACATAATTCAATTTGTATGAAATAGTTGTCTTACGTCACATGGAGGCAGGTCAGGCTTGCCATAATCTTCCCAGAATCTTGATGGTATAATTCCAACAGGAATATCATGCACGACATTTCTTGTGTGACTGACAAGAGATGGCTATGGTCACAAAAGAGATTAAAATATGTAGGCAAAATGAAAAGAGAGAAAACAAGATATTGAACAGAACAATCTAATATTATTGGAACTGTTCAAACTGAGATGGGTCCAGCTGAATAAAAATTGAATAAACTTAAACGTGGAACAACTCAAAACTCAAAAATGATACAAGGCATAGGAAATTTTTGGGAAAGTTTTATGGACTTTCAGAATTCTTCCCTTTAAAAAAGAATTCTTCACTTGTTGCCAAAAATTATCTATATTCAATTGTCTCAAATTTTTTTGAAGCCACCTCAATAAATCTTACTACAGTAAAAAAGTTACCAATAAATTACAATATTGCTCTATTTTGCTCTTATAAATCTTATCAAAAGCTGTTTTGACAAAATTAAGTTGGGTTAAATAGAAGAGGTCCATTGAATTCATCTGAGATCAATGGATGGATCAGATAAAAAGGCTCAAATGATGCTCCATCCTAAAGCATTTGTAATTGTACCTGCTTGAATGTCATTTCAAAATCTTAATGCATTCAGAAATCATTATAAATAGAAAATCTCTGCCATTTTATAAAAACAAAAGTTTAATGGTGATAGTAATAGGACCAGCTTTTATGTAATATGACAAAGCATTAGAAAACATACCAAAGAAACTTCAAATGTAAGACAAGATGTTTGTTTTCTTGTTAACTTGATCTTCAAAGCCTGTGAATTCTGTGCGGATTTCAGTGCTCGAACAAAGTTTTCAGTAATTATCTCCAAAAAAATCTCATTTCTTTCATCTTTACCCTCAATTCGAAACTCATCAAAAATATCTTCCTGAAAATAGAAGGAAATAACCAGGCTGCACAATCATTAAACTCATATTACTTTTATTCAATTACATCTCAAACTAAAAATATATGTGATTTAGGAAAATGATGTGCTTTAAAGACTTCATAATTGGCTGTATTCATCTGTTGATATTTGCTTTTCATACTGAGGAAACCAGTGGAAGTGAATGAAACCCTTTCTTATATTTGTTTCTTGTCATTTTGCAGTGTTCCTGGATTGCAACCAGGGCTGGCTGATTGTTCTCTTATCAGTCATATGTAAGGTTTACATTATTTGTTGCCATATGTTCAAAATTTCTCGTTCAAGTATTAATAAACATTTTTTAAAACATCCGAAAATAATTCTCCACCACAATATCTTATTTGCAGTATTCTTAACAGCAAAAAATCTTTAAGTTTAGCAGCAAAAAGAATTTCGCTGTTAATTCATAATAGACAGTCAATTTTATTTATAAATTATTTAGCCGCAAATAATTACCTGCTCCAGATCACACCAAAGCCTTGTTCCACCACTCGCTGCTTTGTCTGTGTAAATAAAACCAATGCTTGATGGTCCCAATTTCAGAACACATATTCTGCAAATTTTGCTTATGCAGGTCAGGGTTTCTAAAGAAAATAAAACCTAGTTTATGATACAAAATATCTACTAAAAGCTCTTTCAAAACTTTCTCCTCAAAGATTCATAAATGTTACCAATAAAAAGCAGGCATTTGTCTAGGTGAATGTGATTCCTTTCAAATTGCTTTCCAATTCTAATATATTGTTATCAGGTAAGTAGAAGCAAGTGGGGTTGATTTGACAAACTGTTCTCTTTTTATTAGAACCGGTAAATTGAAATTCCAGCTGGTGATTCGTAATTTTTCCCCAACTTGGAAGCTGGATTGTTCTTAATTTTTTATTTAATTTTAAGGGAAAAGCAGTGAAATCGCTAGCTATTGTGCTCAAGGGGAGTGTTCAGGCCACATTTGCCAACAAAGTGAGTAAAAATGTGAGTAACAAAGTGAGTAACGAAGTGAGTGGGCCATCCTTTATCTGCAAAAATGTTTGAAAATTCATCAACAAATCATTTTCTATTTACCCCTCGTGCACTGCTGCTTATAAACAGAAGTGGCACCACAGGGAGGGCTAGGGAAGATGCAAAATAAAAATACATTTTGCACATATTAGGAAATCTTTTCTAGAACATTTCAAAGTTCTCTATGATCTTTATTTAAACTTGAATGGTCTCTTAGTTTCTTAGTCTTACATTCTCTTAGTTGAAATGCATTATCCTATTTTCAAAAGGGTTGTCACAAAAATGCTATTGTTTGTTCCTCTAGATCACCAGACCTCCTCATTTTTTGGGAGCTGGTACTTGAAACATTGCTGGAAACTCATCCACACAATTGGTTGATAACCAAAGATATCTGAGACTTTTTTAGTTAGGGTTTTGCCATTGTCCATTTAACAAAAGGCATGCAAAGCTGCAAATCTTGAATAGATAAAATGTGCTGTTTATATTGCTAGAATTCTAGTTTCTTGAAGTAGGTAACCAATTAATACTTTTCAACAAAATTTACGATTAAAATCATTCTACGTACATTTTTTGCCTACGTAGGACTAGAGATAAATTCATTTGGATTTATTATGACCAGTGGCGGACTGGCAATCATTTGACCCACCGGGAAAAGCAGCCAAAAGGGTGCCAATAGGTCCTAAAATCACCTAACTTTGGGGATTGGAAAAACTTTGCTTTAGCTGAGAATCAGTTTGTTGCAAACATTGTCATAGGAAACGAAACGGGGGAAATTAATATTGCTCATGCTTGAAAAATTAAAAACTAACGAGGGTTGGAAGTGAGAGTAGGCCTTCTGGCTGCTACCACAGCTACTGCTTTCAGTAAAACAAAATATGAACAATTTTTTGGGGCTACTAAATTTGAAAATGGTTTTGAAAAAAGCAAACATTTGTATAGAAGTCAGAATAAGGATCAGAAAGAACAAGATGGAGAATAAATGCCAATTTCTGGATCGAATTTTCCATCTTGTTTTTTTGGACCCTTATTCTGACGTTATATGCTCTCAGAAGTTTCATATGAAAAAGATTTTAGCATGTTTAAAAGTTTTGATTTTTTCAAAAGTTTCCAAAATTTTCAAAACAAAATATGTTCAATTTTAGTTTTGTTCAAACATTATTTGCCTTTTGAAAGTTTTCAAGTTTTTGAAACAATTAATTTCAGGCAAAGGGCGCACCAGGAAATTTCCTGGCGTCCCGGTGGGCCAGTCCGCTTCTGATATGACGCCATGATTCAGGCGCGCAACTACGGGGGGGAGGGGGGGGGTTGGTCCTGGGGGTCCAGACCCCTGCCCTTTTTCTCAAAAGGGGAAAGTGCCCTTTTTCTTGGAAAATTGCTTGAATATTTTGATTATTACGCTAAAATGGTTGGTCATACAGTAAATGACACACTCCGGAGATGTAATGGACCTCGCAGGAATACAGATAAATTATTTAGTCAATTTTTCACGTACTTGTTGGGTCGAACGTCATCATGTTGCAGTAATAGAGTATATCTTCAAGCCCCAACTCTACAGCGTGTTTTATGATGCGTCACGCACTGGCTTTGAAGAAGAATGGTTCTGGGACTCAAAAACCAAAATATAGGCACAAGATTTTGAACGGGATAGAGCCTCTACGACCTCTGGTAAGAGCTTGTAAGAGCTTGTTGGGTCGACCAAGACATTTTTCAAGCCTGTCACATAGTTGACAGGGTCATAGAAGACCTTTGCATGAAACGAGCGAATGCAGAGAAATATTCGCGGACTGGTATTAGAAAGCAGTAAAGATGGCACAAAAAGTTGATGTTCAGCTGTTCCGTTCCTTGTCAGTATTACAAATCAGCTGAAAGCAAGACTTGGAGACAGAAACCAGCTGAAGGCAAGGCTCGTGGAACTGTTCAACCTACTCCCACTGTAGTGCGAAGCAAAGAATTCAATAATAATATTTCAAAGAGCAAAATGTCTTCGGATATGAAAGATGGGCTGCTATTCAAAAGTGAGCTGGCGCTGGGAAAAGGAGATGACAGCAGGGTCGCCGAGAGGGGGACAAAGGGGCAAACTGCCCTAGGGCCTCGAGGTCTAGGGAGCCTCACAAAGCAATGAATTCCGTTTTTAAATGGAATTTATTAAAAGTAACAAAATTACAATTAAAAAGTAAAACATCTTAAACGAATAAGTGAATTTAAGCTATTTGCAAGGGTGTGGTGGCAAAATTTTTGCTCGCTTCGCTCGCAAGAGGCATTGTTTTTTCCATTTCCCCCCTCCCTCGGGCCTCCTAAACTTCTCGGCGGCACTGTACGGCAGACAGAAAGAAGTCATATGCATAGTTAAAATTAAAAGGAAAAAATAAATCACACCTCACCACATAAACCGTACACCACAACTTTTCTCTATTGATCAGTTTCCCTTGTCTGGCGTACAATATTTACAGATTTACTAACTGCTCATATTTTCGCCGTACCTAAACAAATGCCCCGGTGGAACTTTAATGAAATTTAATTAGTGCCCTTTTTGTGTCTTGGACCCCTGCCCTCTGAAATTTCTGGTTGCGCGCCTGTGTTTTGTCACAGTAGGGGCAATATACAGTTTGATACTTAGCTTACAGCTTTAGAAAAGAAACAGCAACTAGTAGAAACAAAGAAATACAAAGTATTACTTGTAAGAGAATGAACTCGCCCAATGTCGGTCATCCGAGCTCTGAACCGCATCTTTCGTGTGTTTATCTATCCACTGATCTTAGCCAAAAAGTTAGCTACCACAACAACACACTGTTCACTTTCCCGCGAAAACAGACAATATTGTTCAGATAACTTCATTTCAGCATGATCTTAGTGACAAAATGCTAGTTTGCAAAGTATGGGTAAAAGAGATCCCTTTTATGTAAGAAATTCCAGGGATAATAAAACAAAGTCGTACAAAATGAGAAAGAAACGACCCTGGTGGGACTCGAACCCACAATCTCCAGCTCCGGAGGCTGGCGCCTTATCCATTAGGCCACAGGGCCATCAAGTCGAGGCTAGCATTAATTGAGTGTGTGTATCTAACAACAATCCTTACCAAAAATAACTGGAACGCCTTCCCATGCAGCATGCAAATGAACAAAGCAAGTTTGAAACTACCTTACCAAAATATCACTGCCGCTTCAAAAATTTCGACCCCCTCCCCCCGTGCAATGTTGATTTACTTTCTCAATACTTTCATACAAATTTCAGTGAAGAAATTTTTACCTTCAGGATCAAAACAGCCCAATTGAACAACATTGTAATGGGGGGTAGGGGGGGATTTTTCAAAAACAGCTTCAGCTTTGAGCGAGTGTTCGAACAATTTTGGCAAGGATTGAAGTCATTGAACCAGAGACAAGATACTTGACAGCATGAAAATAGAAGTAATGAGCCATTCCCTGCCAAATGGACTAATTTTTGAAGAAGTCCCACGTGCACAACCTCAGATATGAAATAATATCAAACTCAAACCATCCATAGTCAATTGAAAAAGATTGACTACGCTTGCTCAAATTTTTTAGTTCTTTTTTGAATGTAAGCTTAAATTGATTATACTCTCTTCAAAAAAGGATCTTCTAAAAAGCTGTTAATCTTGACAAATGTTTAAAATTCTTCCTCTAGAATATAAATGGCATTTGTGCAAGGGGTTGTATAAAGATCCCATTAATTCAAGCGTATAATGCGCTACATCATTTTGACGTTATGGCCTTTTCTGAGTCGATGCTTAACAAATCTAATAATAATTCTGATATTTGCATTGAGGGCTTTAGTCAGTGGCGTAGCGTGAGCGCAGAACTTAGGCATGCGGTAACATAAAATATACGGCTATGTTGAATAAATGTAATGGTAATTTCAGTTTCTAAAAAATACAAGCGGTAATTAATGATAATCGTGATAGCAAATTTTGATTTTCAAAGTAACAAATCATTTGTACTCTTATTCTAATCAATCAAGGTGTCTATTCTTAGCATCAGAGGCTCCGACAGAGGTTGGAAAGTGAAGAGGGGCCAAGGGAAAAATTATCACCCATGCGAAAGTTTTTAAAAAAAGCTCAATTGTTTAGCAAGACTTTTCAGAATAACTCCTAGTGCTAAAACTGCTTTGCAAAAGATTTTATTCTTATTCATATTCCTCAAGAAAAGGCATCACCTAATGTCCACCTAATGTAAGAATTTTTTATGCTATAATGAAGCTGGGGATTCCCGCAAGAAGGAGCTCTCCACATTGCGAAATTGTTAACACACAACAGGAGCAACAGTTTCTGCTCATTTTTTACTCTCATAGTTAACTAAGATGAAAATAGTGAGCTGTGAGAGTTGTTAGAATTGAAGATGCTTCCATGTGTAAAGTTTCAGAAAGTTAGTCCCGGCAAATCATCATGTATTTAGCAAGGCTTGCGCTCAGGTCTACCGCATGCCCTGGTCCGTAAATTCTGACTATACTGGCAAGCCTTTTGATTTGAATTACGGAATGCGGATCATGACAAATAGACTCTGACCCCACTTTGACGAAACTTTGTCTCTTTTCAACAGTCACAAAGTAAAGAAAGGAAAATAATTGGATTTGAAATGATGTATCACGCAAAGAGTATTCGCAAAAAGCAGCTTATAGGTAGAAAAATGTTGTGGATTATCAAATATTTGGGAAGGCTTGCGCTCAGGCCGAGAAAATTCTCACTTCTCTCAGAAGCTTCTCTCGAGTTGCACTGAAGCTGCACTGGAGCATCACATGTTTCTCTTATTTTGAACAGGCAAAAAGAGAGATGTGGAGGGGCTTCAGTTTTTCAGATTTTTCGAATTTCATAATTTTTAGCGATCTGTTTACTTGGAAAAAAAGCCAATTTGGGGCCAATTGGCCTGTTGGCGCTAGAGTTCACTGCATGCTGCTCATGACAAGAAAGAGAAGCCGTTTATTGCGGAAATTTTTATGCATTGAAAGTGTTGCAAGAATTTTAGAATTTGTCTATAAATTTTTACGCTTGCGCCGCAAGCGTAGCATACATAGACGCTACGCCACTGGCTTTAGTAGGGAAGCAAATATCTGTTAGACGCGCAGAGGTTTAACAGCAGTTAAGCCTGGTTTCCACTTGGCCGTTTGGGTCGTTTGAATCGTCACAGTCGTTCCTGAAGGACACGAACAACCTAAAGAACACATTGGTTTCCACTTGGTCGTTTGGGTCTTTTGAGTCTTTTGTTGTTGATGCTGTTCATTGCTTGCACCATGCATCGCTCATTTAATTTTGGCGGCGTGCGTGGAAGGAACGATGGTAGCATTTGATAAACAACAACTGATGTTGCCAAGTCAACTATTTCTACCTCTGGTGACTTTGTACAGACGACGATGTTAGATCACTAAATTTCAGTGCAATAGCTTGCCATGATTTGATATTTTTGTATTTATTTTCAAACTCTTTCCAGTAATTGTTATAATAGCACTCGTATTTTTGAACTTTTCCATAAAGCTTGCTGTGAAATATTCAGCTATCTTGTCTTGTACTAGTCAAACACGCGGTTACAAGATAAACCCCTACTCTTGAAGAAAAAGTTATTAAAGCGTGGGTTGTTTGTGGGGAATTCTGCGTAGATAGCCCTGTGCTCGAATAGAATTCCCAGTGACACCAAATAACTCACAATTTTGTTAAACTCTCAATGATGATTCGCAATTCGTAATTCGTAAGTCGTAAGTCGTCAGTCAGTCCTACCGAAAGTTTACAGGTATATATACGATTCTAATGGAAAGTTCTAGAACCTATATTATAAGCATGAGTCCACAAAACTATAATTAGAATTTACCTGAAAGTTCTGTCATGATGACGTTAGCAACCTATTACATAAGAATCTAAATTTACTACAGCTAGAATAGAAACCTCCCGAAAGAGCTAGAACAACTAATACGAGGCTAAATATGAAAACGAGGTTGACTAGGAAGTTCGATTAAATGACTATGATTAAATTAAGGTTGGCTTAAATGACGGATAGGATAATCGTTGTTATATACGTGTTTACATAAAGATTTAAATGTCATAATCAGTCAGCAAATATCAAAGGTAAGCTTCTCTAGAATGTTCTAAAACTTCTGACAAAGGGTACACTCAGATTTAGCACACGTTTGAGTCGTTTGAGTCGTTTGTCGGTTTCCACTTGCAAAAATCATTCATGCGTGGGTATTTTGGGTCGCGGAGATAGAATTTTTTCTATCTCTGCGACAACTGTCGTTTGAGTATTTCGGGTCTTTTGGGTTGTTGGCAGATATGTTTCCACCGAGTCTTTTCATTCGTTTGGGTATTTTCCAACGACCCAAACGACCCAAACGACCAAGTGGGAACCAGGCTTTAATGCCACCAGGGAGGAGCATGGGTTTCGGGTCACTTGACATGTCGTGCTGGGAGAACGATCTTCCAGTCACATGGTGATCTAACCTCTAAAAAGTCAAGATTAAACTTTCCAGCGTTGTTTCTTGGATTTTTATTTATTTTTGTGAAACCCAGTTCAATTGGATTTCAGTTTTTCGTGATTAGCCTTGCGGTTATTTTGGATTAGGATTTCGTTTGGCATTTCAATTGTAAATGAATTGATTTTACCAGAGACACAGTTGAACAGGGGCGGATACAGAAAATAATTTGACGGTCGCACATAAACACTACCTAACAAGCGGTCTAGGGGGCCTCCCTCATGGTCAAGGGTAGAGCCATAATAGGGGCCCAGCCCCCTCCCCCCCCGAACCAGAGCAACTAGGTTAATTTCAAAGGCAAAACCCCTAAAGCTCACAATATCGATTATTGCAACCAACATAAATAAAAGGACTAATTTCTCCTTTTTTCACGATAGTCATCTAGATCTTTAATCTAGAACATTATTTCCATGTCTTGTAAGCGTTAAAGGCATTGAGTCATGGTAAATAGGCCTTCTCTATAGGGGGTCATTTGGTTTCGGCGTGATCGCTGCTGTTTCATGTGATACTTGCATCCGTTGTTGACAACTTGCTATTGATGAAAATTGCTTTGTCAATCAGTACGAGGTGAGTTCATGTGACCAGTTCCAGGTCAACCAATAGCATCGCAGTCATGAAAATCATGACTCAGCGGATTTTGGCACTTAGGATATACCCAATCCATTTTATCATGACTCAATGCCTTTAACTTTCTAACCTAACTGCGATTTGTCCCGCTAAGCAAGACTGATACACTTTGATTGATGGAACGCCTTAATGGACGCCCTTATCTTTAGGAGCGGAAGTTGCCTCACCAACAAAGTTTGCAGGCCTTGTAGTAGTTTTTTGTGTGGCGACGGGACTAGGGCCCTGAAATGTTCAAATTGTTCAGTCAAACGTTTTTCCCTTTTACAAGGTTTTCCAAATTTTCCAGCAAATCCAAACACCCAGTTGAGACAAAATATCTTGAGATTCAGAAGTGTACACTTCCTGTGCACCTTTTCCGCATTGAGAAAGAAAATTGGGATTCTTCTCCTTCACAACTTTTAACCTTATCCATTTTCTTCCCTTGCCAGCAGTTGTGCGGCACAGTAATCTAACATAGTGTTACAGACTTAGTCTAACATAGTCTAACGTGGTTACAGACATGAATTTCGAACTCGAATTTAAAACTCGAATTTTGATTGGTGAAATTTGGTAAAATATTTGCATAACAAAGAGCCCTGCATATTTGTGCGGCACGGGCGACATGCCTAAAAATCATACTGTTTAATATCTGTAAGGAGGGAAATAAAAGATTGTGTTAACATGATTGCCTCATTTCAACGACTGAAGACTAAAACTAAATTCTGAAAATCTGACGGTCTTCCGTGCGACCTGTGCGACACCCTGAATCCACCCCTGCAGTTGAACTACGAGTTTTGAAGTGGCCTAGAGACTTGTGCCTACGTGGTTACTCGATCTGCCTTGGTGAGAAAGTTCCATTTATTACCGTTGCTTTTGACTTTCCGTTGTGATATTGTTATTTTCTATCGAT